AGTGTTGTATTATCTACCAGTATGTTGCTAGTGAGAGTTGTGTTATGCACACTCTGTATAGGGGTTTCAAGGGGCAGCAGCAGGTGGCAGGTCAGTCCTCTCCAAGGTTAGTAGAGTGTAAGTAGATCGAAGCTGACACCCATCATTGGGACATGTAAATTGGTGCAGGCGAGGAGTCACAATAACGTGGCTAAAGTGTGTTGACCAGACCACACACTAGAAGGTGAAGGGACGACGACGTTTCGGTCCGTCCTGGACCATTCTGAAGTCGATTGTGAGAATGGTCCAGGACGGACCGAAACGTCGTCGTCCCTTCACCGTCTAGTGTGTGGTCTGGTCAACGTGTAAATTGGTACATCACGTTTGCTTTTTGGCAATGGTTGTAGTGTTTAGTGGGGTGGTTCTTTAGTATTAAATCAACAGTCCTTTTTGTTTGTAGTAAATATTGAATTCCAATCTTTGGTCTGGGGATGTCGGTTGTACTCTATTTGAAATTATATTTTTAATTATTTTAATAAGAATAATAAGAAATATAAGCCCCCCCCCCTCACCTCTTCGTCGCCGAAAGACAGAAGAGTTAGGGGGGACATGATCACCACGTACAAGATTCTCAAAGGAATTGATAGGGTAGATAGAGACAGATTATATAATAAAAGGAGCACACGCACTAGGGGACACAGGTGGAAATTGAGTGCCCAAATGAGCCACAGAGACATTAGAAAGAACTTTTTTAGTGTCAGAGTGGTTGACAAATGGAATGCATTACGAAGTGATGTGGTGGAGGCTGACTCCATACACAGTTTCAAGTGTAGATATGACAGAGCCCAATAGGCTCAGGAATCTGTACACCTGTTGATTGACAGTTGAGAGGCGGGACCAAAGAGCCAGAGCTCAACCCCCGCAAACACAACTAGGTGAGTACAACTAGGTGAGTACAGTTTCAAGTGTAGATATGATAGAGCCCAGTAGGCTCAGGAACCTGTACACCAGTTGATTGACGGTTGAGAGGCGGGACCAAAGAGCCAGAGCTCAACCCCCGCACAAAAGACAACTAGGTGAGTCCCTCTTACAAATTTCGTCGCTTTTGGCTCGGTTGCGCGACGGCCAAATGTCGACGTAATTCCAAATGGAAATTTATTTTCCTATTAAATTTTGAATTTTTTCTTCTCCAAAACAGCAAGTTAAGGGTCCTCATTAACTTAAGGGGCAGGTTAGGAGGGCAGGAAGTTCTCCTAAGGTTTCAAAACGTCATGAAAACCGTTAATTGAAAAGTTACCTCTCTTAACAGCCTGAACCAGAGGACCCAAAACAGAAAACGGGACAGTACGTCACTGTCGTGAGCCGATTTCATTTTGAATTACGTCGATTTTTACGACGCACATGAGCGAAAAGCGACGTAATTTGTAAGAGGAAGAGTTGGGCTGTAACCAGCTTGGCTCAGCACGTCTCCAGCTGCCCACCGCTTGCCAACCCTGGCAAGCGGTGCCAGGGCTGGCAAGCGGTGCCAGGGCTGGCAACCCAACCCCACATGCGTAGATTGCATAAAAAAATATAACATTACCAAAATATTTACCATTTGAATACCCATTCACTTGGACTGGTTGGTAGAGCGAGCACCTCGCTTCCTGCAGGTCGATGTTCGATCCCGGATGAACCAAGTGGTTGGGTATTATTCGCACCTTATCCGTGATCGTTATAATAACCCTGCTCCTTGACCTCACATACCTGCTCCTTGACCTCACATACCTGCTCCTTGACCTCACATACCTGCTCCTTGACCTCACATACCTGCTCCTTGTCCTCACATACCTGCTCCTTGACCTCACATACCTGCTCCTTGACCTCACATACCTGCTCCTTGACCTCACATACCTGCTCCTTGTCCTCACATACCTGCTCCTTGACCTCACATACCTGCTCCTTGACCTCACATACCTGCTCCTTGTCCTCACATACCTGCTCCTTGTCCTCACATACCTGCTCCTTGACCTCACATACCTGCTCCTTGACCTCACATACCTGCTCCTTGACCTCACATACCTGCTCCTTGTCCTCACATACCTGCTCCTTGTCCTCACATACCTGCTCCTTGACCTCACATACCTGCTCCTTGACCTCACATACCTGCTCCTTGTCCTCACATACCTGCTCCTTGTCCTCACATACCTGCTCCTTGTCCTCACATACCTGCTCCTTGTCCTCATTGAACTACGAATTAACAATACCCTAAATAGGAGCAGAATAGATGGCAAATTCCTTGGTGTTTCCACTGGCAACAATCTTCCATTGCCATATACAAAATATGCTGAGGTAGTAATTGTATCAATTCTATTACAATATGTGCCATATAGTCACATGTCTACTCTCACAACCCGTTATTGTACCTTCCTATATATGTGTAAATAAATAAATATAAGATAAGTATAGGTAAACGCAAGTTTCTGATATAGTAGACATACTCCCTTAAAAAGGATAGAGTAGTTTAGGCTATCTTACGAGGATAGAATAGTTTAGGTTATCTTACGAGGATAGAATAGTTTAGGTTATCTTACGAGGATAAAATAGTTTAGGTTATCTTACGAGGATAGAATAGTTTAGGCTATCTTACGAGGATAGAATAGTTTAGGCTATCTTACGAGGATAGAATAGTTTAGGCTATCTTACGAGGATAGAATAGTTTAGGCTATCTTACGAGGATAGAGAAGTTTAGGCTATCTTACGAGGATAGAATAGTTTAGGCTATCTTACGAGGATAGAGTAGTTTAGGCTATCTTACGAGGATAGAATAGTTTAGGTTATCTTACGAGGATAGAATAGTTTAGGTTATCTTACGAGGATAAAATAGTTTAGGTTATCTTACGAGGATAGAATAGTTTAGGCTATCTTACGAGGATAGAATAGTTTAGGCTATCTTACGAGGATAGAATAGTTTAGGCTATCTTACGAGGATAGAATAGTTTAGGCTATCTTACGAGGATAGAGAAGTTTAGGCTATCTTACGAGGATAGAATAGTTTAGGCTATCTTACGAGGATAGAGAAGTTTAGGCTATCTTACGAGGATAGAATAGTTTAGGTTATCTTACGAGGATAGAGAAGTTTAGGTTATCTTACGAGGATAGAATAGTTTAGGCTATCTTACGAGGATAGAGTACTTTAGGCTATCTTACGAGGATAGAGAAGTTTAGGCTATCTTACGAGGATAGAATAGTTTAGGCTATCTTACGAGGATAGAATAGTTTAGGCTATCTTACGAGGATAGAGAAGTTTAGGCTATCTTACGAGGATAGAATAGTTTAGGCTATCTTACGAGGATAGAATAGTTTAGGCTATCTTACGAGGATAGAGAAGTTTAGGCTATCTTACGAGGATAGAATAGTTTAGGCTATCTTACGAGGATAGAATAGTTTAGACTATCTTACGAGGATAGAATAGTTTAGGCTATCTTACGAGGATAGAGAAGTTTAGGCTATCTTACGAGGATAGAATAGTTTAGGTTATCTTACGAGGATAGAGAAGTTTAGGCTATCTTACGAGGATAGAATAGTTTAGGCTATCTTACAAGGATAGAATAGTTTAGGCTATCTTACGAGGATAGAGAAGTTTAGGCTATCTTACGAGGATAGAATAGTTTAGGCTATCTTACGAGGATAGAGAAGTTTAGGCTATCTTACGAGGATAGAATAGTTTAGGTTATCTTACGAGGATAGAGAAGTTTAGGTTATCTTACGAGGATAGAATAGTTTAGGCTATCTTACGAGGATAGAGTACTTTAGGCTATCTTACGAGGATAGAGAAGTTTAGGCTATCTTACGAGGATAGAATAGTTTAGGCTATCTTACGAGGATAGAATAGTTTAGGCTATCTTACGAGGATAGAGAAGTTTAGGCTATCTTACGAGGATAGAATAGTTTAGGTTATCTTACGAGGATAGAGTACTTTAGGCTATCTTACGAGGATAGAATAGTTTAGGCTATCTTACGAGGATAGAATAGTTTAGACTATCTTACGAGGATAGAATAGTTTAGGCTATCTTACGAGGATAGAGAAGTTTAGGCTATCTTACGAGGATAGAATAGTTTAGGTTATCTTACGAGGATAGAGAAGTTTAGGCTATCTTACGAGGATAGAATAGTTTAGGCTATCTTACAAGGATAGAATAGTTTAGGCTATCTTACAAGGATAGAGAAGTTTAGGCTATCTTACGAGGATAGAATAGTTTAGGCTATCTTACGAGGATAGAGAAGTTTAGGCTATCTTACGAGGATAGAATAGTTTAGGTTATCTTACGAGGATAGAGAAGTTTAGGTTATCTTACGAGGATAGAATAGTTTAGGCTATCTTACGAGGATAGAGTACTTTAGGCTATCTTACGAGGATAGAGAAGTTTAGGCTATCTTACGAGGATAGAATAGTTTAGGCTATCTTACGAGGATAGAATAGTTTAGGCTATCTTACGAGGATAAAATAGTTTAGGCTATCTTACGAGGATAGAATAGTTTAGGCTATCTTACGAGGATAGAATAGTTTAGGCTATCTTACGAGGATAGAGAAGTTTAGGCTATCTTACGAGGATAGAATAGTTTAGGCTATCTTACGAGGATAGAGAAGTTTAGGCTATCTTACGAGGATAGAATAGTTTAGGCTATCTTACGAGGATAGAATACTTTAGGCTATCTCACAAGGATAGAGTACTTTAGGCTATCTCACAAGGATAGAGTAGTTTAGGCTATCTCACAAGGATAGAGTAGTTTAGAGTATTTCTACCTTCCTCTACATATGATATCTGTTCCTGGAGGATCTATTGCCCCTAATCACATATAATTACTCAACTGTGTAATATTTTTGTGTATATTTCTTAATATACACAAATTTAATTTCTAATATTTCCTGGGATCTTTCCGTTGTGACCCGACTCAGCTGAGTGTAGATACGCTAGCCTGCTCTATTAACCTTTTAGCATGCTACTAAATAACTTTTTGACGTTTTGAATGTCTGGCAGGTTTGCGGTGATGTGGATGTGGCCGAGTTTGCTGTTGTTGGCGGCCGTGGGCACCGCTACGGGGCCTCGGGCGAACTTTGTCCACAGGTTCGAGCCCGTGGACTTTAACGGCGCTGACTACTATGTTAATGGAGGGTAAGTGTTGCTTGGTGGTGCTGAGTGCCGCCACGGAAAGATGAGTGCCACTAGATAGTGCCGTACACTGCCAGAGTGCAACCCTCACTGTTAGAGAGTGCAACCCCCCCACTGTTGGAGAGTGTAACCCACTGTTGGAGAGTGCACCTCACTGTTGGAGAGTGCACCTCACTGTTGGAGAGTGTAACCCACTGTTGGAGAGTGTACCTCACTGTTGGAGAGTGTACCTCACTGTTGGAGAGTGTACCTCACTGTTGGAGAGTGCACCTCACTGTTGGAGAGTGCACCTCACTGTTGGAGAGTGCACCTCACTGTTGGAGAGTGCACCTCACTATTGGAGAGTGTACCTCACTGTTGGAGAGTGTACCTTACTGTTGGAGAGTGCACCTCACTGTTGGAGAGTGCACCTCACTGTTGGAGAGTGTACCTCACTGTTGGAGAGTGTACCTCACTGTTGGAGAGTGTACCTCACTGTTGGAGAGTGTACCTCACTGTTGGAGAGTGTACCTCACTGTTGGAGAGTGTAACCCACTGTTGGAGAGTGCACCTCACTGTTGGAGAGTGCACCTCACTGTTGGAGAGTGTACCTCACTGTTGGAGAGTGCACCTCACTGTTGGAGAGTGTACCTCACTGTTGGAGAGCGTACCTCACTGTTGGAGAGTGTACCTCACTGTTGGAGAGTGTAACCCACTGTTGGAGAGTGCACCTCACTGTTGGAGAGTGTAACTCACTGTTGGAGAGTGCACCTCACTGTTGGAGAGTATAACCCACTGTTGGAGAGTGTAACCCACTGTTGGAGAGTGTACCTCACTGTTGGAGAGTGTACCTCACTGTTGGAGAGTGTAACTCACTGTTGGAGAGTGCAACCCACTGTTGGAGAGTGCAACCCACTGTTGGAGAGTGTACCTCACTGTTGGAGAGTGTAACCCACTGTTGGAGAGTGTACCTCACTGTTGGAGAGTGTACCTCACTGTTGGAGAGTGTAACCCACTGTTGGAGAGTGTAACCCACTGTTGGAGAGTGTACCTCACTGTTGGAGAGTGTACCTCACTGTTGGAGAGTGTAACTCACTGTTGGAGAGTGCAACCCACTGTTGGAGAGTGCAACCCACTGTTGGAGAGTGTACCTCACTGTTGGAGAGTGTAACCCACTGTTGGAGAGTGTACCTCACTGTTGGAGAGTGTAACTCACTGTTGGAGAGTGCAACTCACTGTTGGAGAGTGTACCTCACTGTTGGAGAGTGTACCTCACTGTTGGAGAGTGTAACTCACTGTTGGAGAGTGCAACTCACTGTTGGAGAGTGCAACTCACTGTTGGAGGAGTGCACCTCACTGTTGGAGAGTGTAACTCACTGTTGGAAGTGCACCTCACTGTTGGAGAGTGCACCTCACTGTTGGAGAGTGCACCTCACTGTTGGAGAGTGTACCTCACTGTTGGAGAGTGTACCTCACTGTTGGAGAGTGTACCTCACTGTTGGAGAGTGTACCTCACTGTTGGAGAGTGCACCTCACTGTTGGAGAGTGTACCTCACTGTTGGAGAGTGTACCTCACTGTTGGAGAGTGCACCTCACTGTTGGAGAGTGCACCTCACTGTTGGAGAGTGTAACCCACTGTTGGAGAGTGTACCTCACTGTTGGAGAGTGTACCTCACTGTTGGAGAGTGTACCTCACTGTTGGAGAGTGTACCTCACTGTTGGAGAGTGTACCTCACTGTTGGAGAGTGTACCTCACTGTTGGAGAGTGTACCTCACTGTTGGAGAGTGTACCTCACTGTTGGAGAGTGTACCTCACTGTTGGAGAGTGTACCTCACTGTTGGAGAGTGCACCTCACTGTTGGAGAGTGTAACCCACTGTTGGAGAGTGTACCTCACTGTTGGAGAGTGTACCTCACTGTTGGAGAGTGTAACTCAGTTGGAGAGTGCAACCCACTGTTGGAGAGTGTACCTCACTGTTGGAGAGTGCACCTCACTGTTGGAGAGTGTAACCCACTGTTGGAGAGTGTACCTCACTGTTGGAGAGTGTACCTCACTGTTGGAGAGTGTACCTCACTGTTGGAGAGTGTAACCCACTGTTGGAGAGTGCAACTCACTGTTGGAGAGTGCAACCACTGTTGGAGAGTGCAACCCACTGTTGGAGAGTGTAACCCACTGTTGGAGAGTGCAACTCACTGTTGGAGAGTGCAACCCACTGTTGGAGAGTGCAACTCACTGTTGGAGAGTGTAACCCACTGTTGGAGAGTGCAACCCACTGTTGGAGAGTGCAACTCACTGTTGGAGAGTGCAACCCACTGTTGGAGAGTGCAACCCACTGTTGGAGAGTGCAACCCACTGTTGGAGAGTGCAACCCACTGTTGGAGAGTGCAACCCACTGTTGGAGAGTGCAACCCACTGTTGGAGAGTGCAACCCACTGTTGGAGAATGCAACCCACTGTTGGAGAATGCAACCCACTGTTGGAGAGTGCAACCCACTGTTGGAGAGTGCAACCCACTGTTGGAGAGTGCAACCCACTGTTGGAGAGTGCAACCCACTGTTGGAGAGTGCAACCCACTGTTGGAGAGTGCAACCCACTGTTGGAGGGTGCAACCCACTGTTGGAGAGTGCAACCCACTGTTGGAGAGTGCAACCCACTGTTGGAGGGTGCAACCCACTGTTGGAGAGTGCAACCCACTGTTGGAGGGTGCAACCCACTGTTGGAGAGTGCAACCCACTGTTGGAGAGTGCAACCCACTGTTGGAGGGTGCAACCCACTGTTGGAGAGTGCAACCCACTGTTGGAGGGTGCAACCCACTGTTGGAGAGTGCAACCCACTGTTGGAGGGTGCAACCCACTGTTGGAGAGTGCAACCCACTGTTGGAGAGTGCAACCCACTGTTGGAGGGTGCAACCCACTGTTGGAGAGTGCAACCCACTGTTGGAGGGTGCAACCCACTGTTGGAGAGTGCAACCCACTGTTGGAGAGTGCAACCCACTGTTGGAGGGTGCAACCCACTGTTGGAGAGTGCAACCCACTCCTGTTGCCTCCTCTCCCACCATTTCATCTTCCCGTCTGGTCATAAGCGTGGCTGTGCAGCTAAACATAAGATAATCTTGCTTGGAAATACTTAAGAATGATTTGAGATACCAAGTAGAGTGGCACAAGGTTAGTCACCTCACTCGAGACTTGACCAGATTCTCCTGGGATTCTGAGGTGTTCGTGCAGGCTTCCTTACACCTGATACACCTGTTCACCTAGCACTTAATAGGTACCTGAGAGTGTGGTAACTGTTGAGAGCGGCGTTTCGGGAGGGTGGTGGTGTTAGAGGTGGAGAGGACAGGTGACCTAAGTGTATAACTGTTGCAGGAGTGGAGGGAACACCCCGGCCGTCTTGGAGGACCTCCGGAGGGGTCAGGAGGGTCTTATCGTCAAGATCAGTGACGTCACTAAGTCGCTCAAGGTGAGGCGTGTGCAGCTCGGCGCCTTCTTCCTTACCTTCATTTATCGCTTCCCAAACCTTCCCAAGTATGTTACCTTTTTGTTTATATCTGGAATATTTGAGCAAAAAACAGCGTTGAATTTGATGAAACGTCTTTCTGGTTGGGTCTTTGTGGCTCTTGTTTCTAGCCACACACAGACAGCTCCATTCAGATGAGTCAGGTCAGCCTCAGAAGTCCTTAATAGCCTCTCAGAGAACAGAGCCAGAACCTTCCCTCAAAGATGTGCAGGGAGTAGGGGAGTCTTTACCATCACCCTCACTGAAGGAAACAAACAGAATATAAGCAAAACAGACACTGCAAGGTTAATAAGATAAAGAGAAATGAAGCAGCAAACGGCTAAACAACTGATTCATGCAGGAGTTCCAACTCTCAACTCGTTCTCACCGGCCACTGCCAGGTGGCAACACCCCAGAAGCTCCCGTGTCAACACCAGTTCCTCCAGATCCTAACACCACCAACTGATGCATGTGGAGAGAGTAGTCGAGGGACTAGGGAGCACCAAGGCCCAGCCAGAAAGAGTGTTACATTACATTCAATACTGGTTTTCTGGACGGGCTGAACTATGGTTCCCTGAAGCTAACTACAGAGAAGAAAGAAACAGAAAGGACGAGAATAAGATAAAAACAAAACAGGAAGAGTGTGAATTACTTTTTCCCAAGAGAACCGAGGGCGGGAAATCCAACCAAGAGCAACACAAGCCAAACAGGCACCAGGAACACTGACCAGGAAATGATCAGCTAGTTAGGACCTTGTTAGACCTTCACAACTCCCGAGCCCAGACATCAATCCATGACATACCGCAAAAGACTACGGTTAGAGATGCAAATTTACAAACATCATGGGCTTGATTGTAGATAGCAGGCTGGCTAGATTTAATGACACTGAATAACCTGAGATAAACGAGCCCTGGAACAGGGTGACAAGGTAAAGATAGCAGTCTCCGTGGTGTAGTGGTAAGACACTTGCCTGGCGTTCCGCGAGCGCTGTCATGGGTTCGTATCCTGGCCGGGGAGGATTTACTGGGCGCAATTCCTTAACTGTAGCCTCTGTTTAACGCAACAGTAAAATGTGTACTTGGATGAAAAAACGATTCTTCGCGGCAGGGGATCGTATTCCAGGGACCGTAGGATTAAGGACTTGCCCGAAACGCTACGCGTACTAGTGGCTGTACAAGAATGTAACAACTCTTGTATATATCTCAAATATACCTCGGGGTGACAAGGAAACTAGATCAACAAACACGTCCACCACAGCAATGCAGGTGATGTGCAGGTAGACGAACCGCTGCAACCGGACACAACGTGTGGTGTACCCCCAGCCGGACACAACGTGTGGTGTACCCCCAGCCGGACACAACGTGTGGTGTACCCCCAGCCGGACACAACGTGTGGTGTACCCCCAGCCGGACACAACGTGTGGTGTACCCCCAGCCGGACACAACGTGTGGTGTACCCCCAGCCGGACACAACGTGTGGTGTACCCCCAGCCGGACACAACGTGTGGTGTACCCCCAGCCGGACACAACGTGTGGTGTACCCCCAGCCGGACACAACGTGTGGTGTACCCCCAGCCGGACACAACGTGTGGTGTACCCCCAGCCGGACAAACTAAGTATCAAGGACAAAAAGAAACTTACAACTCGATTAGTACCAGAACTGAGAGACCTCCTCAGCTATGAGGACAGACACCCTGACCACCTCAGAAGAGATTAGAAACTACATACAAGGTCCTGAGAGGAATAGACAAGCAGGACAAAGGAACCTCTTTTGAAATTTAAAGGGAACATTACTGGAAGCTGGTGGAAGTGGAAGATTCTTCTAAAATAATCTTTCCAGCCGCTACTCTTCACAGACGCCGTCTTGTCAATCGGCTTTGATACACAACCTACCCAACATGAACCTAAGTCCTGGCCTTGTTGCTGTTGACTCTTCCACAGTGCGCCTGTACATACTTAAATGCTCTAACCTTAACAAACGTGATCTGACTTAAGCCTACCCCTGATTTCTTTTCTTATCCTCCTCTTATTCTTACCTCATCCCATTTTTCCTTCATCTTGTTCTTACCTCCTTCTCTTACCAGCCCTTCACTTACACCTTAATTACCTTCTTCTAGAAATTACCTTTGTCTCTAATCTGCTCCTTACCTCACTCTATTTATTGGTCCGTCCCTTCCACCACACTGTGTCAACTCTTGATACAGATAATGGCTCTAAAAGAGCCTCCACTTACGGGCTCACCATAGCCCGTACTGCTTGGAACTTTTTGTTCCGAGTAGCTGAATCTAAAATAACAACAATCCACCACACCACACAGTTGAGTAGCGCACACACTCCATACACTACGACCCGTTGAGGGTGAGGACACAATGTGACCCAAATGTCTAAGGGTTAAGAGATACTCCCCCTTGACGGTCATGCTTTCAGGAAAAATGATATTCTGAAGATCCAAAAGGACGCGGCCTCTCTGATTAGTCAGGAAGGTGATGATATCGTGCTCTTCTTTTCACGTGAGGAAGAACTAGAAAAACTCTTGACCAACGATATCATACTTCGCAAGGAGCACCACCTACATCCTCACTTCCTACGTCAGTTCCTGGCCGGAAGAACTGTTTTTACAAGCAGGACCAGCCAGTGGATCGCTGACCGACTGCAACACAAGATCACGGACAATATCGAGGACGAACATCCGAACCTGGATGAATTCAACCTAGAGTTCTGCAGCACCGAGAAATCATCAATGAAATTACTTTCACCACCATAGCTGCGGCCACCCAGGTTGCCACACAAAGTTTCTGTTGCTTCGGCTTACAAATACAACCCCACCAAGTAAAAAAGGAACGATACCAGGAACTCCAGCAGTGCCTCAAGTACTACGAGCTCTCCCACCCCACCAACAAGGGGTCAGCAACCCGTCCAGAAGTGCAGCCTATGCGCACTGGACCATCACTACTCCATATGCAAGGCAACAACCCATCGCTGCTTGCTCTGCGATGACAAACACCCCGCAATTTCCTACCGCTACCCCCGCAGACAGGAAAACATCAAGACCCAGGTTGAAGCCAAGAAAAACAACCCTTTTACTCCACGTTCAGAGCCCCAGGCGCTCGATCCACCACCTCAGCTCCCACCAACCGACCAGAAGTCTTACCAAAAGTTGGCTCCTCCCACCAGATGACAAAGCCTTCACATTGGGGACCCACGACCACATAGGCACCTTCGCAGCCCTTTGTATCATGTGCAGGCATTATCCTTGGTCTTATTCGACTAGTGGAGAGGCTTGCCGGACCAGACAATCAATGATTCATCAAAGAACTCAACGCATTGTACCTTGGCCAACGGCCTGGACCCCCATCATCGCCCCGGACGCAAGTCTCACTGCCTCCACTACCACTCCGGAGACTACCACCAGGATACAAACAGAGGTATTTCCCTCTTCAGCTTCCAACACTCCTAGCATCACCTAAGCAGACGTGCTGTTTACAAATGCTAACAGCACCACCAACGCTCCTGAAATAGCCTCTACCACTAATCCATGCCACCTGAGCCTACCTCAGACGGCAAGACGAAAGACGAAAACACCAACTACGGACGTCGCGTCCTCCTCAGATGAGTAAATCTTAGTAGGAGCTTCACCGCCGCACCACAAATATGACACCTACTCGGTACAAGACCTCCTCACCAAACTCCAATGACAGCACGGCTCAGCCAAAGAAAAAACGGAAGACCTAGAGGTCTACACTAACCCCACCAGTTCCATAACTGGTATAGCCAGTCTTCTGAGGCTGAAATCTACCATGAAGACCCCCATCTATCCCAGATCTCTAGCATCAACTATTGATACAGATAATGGCTCCAAAAGAGCTCCCACTTACGGGGCTCACCATAGCCCATGCTACTTGGAACTTTTTGTTCTGAGTAGCTGAATCTAAAACAACAACATCCACCACACTACTTGAAGTCACATATAAAGAGTTCAAAGTAGAGCCATATTCTGTGGCTAATGACAGAATGGACAGAAATGCATCATCCCAAACGAAGGAACTGGAGCTAAGTATACCATCCTTCTGTGAAATAGAAAGCTCCGAATCCGTGGCAAGAAGGGACGGCTTCTTGCTTCGGCTTCAATTGTCTCTGTAATCAACATGGATGTGGCAACCCCCAAAGGCAGCTGAGCTACAGCAAACCATGCAAGGCAGAACAGTTGAGGGCCACAGAGTTAACAATGCAAACCAGACATGACAGGGTTGATCTTGTCGAAACCTTTAAAATACTGAATAGTTTGGAGGATATTGATCCAGACCACTTCTTCAAAAGGTCAGATTTAACACAAACAAGGAGCAACAGTTTTAAGCTCAGCAAACTACAATGCAGGCTGGAAAACAAGAGATGCTTTATTTTACCCACGAGTTATGAACCTATGGAGCCTCCAACCCTTCGAAGCCATAACTACCAAAACACTGATGAATTTCAAAATCATCAGGATAATTGGGAGGACCTTTGACTAGCTACTGGCTTTCTTTTCTCGCCAAAGCCACTAGAGACAGTGGCTTTCAGAAAATTTCAGGCAAATACTTAAAGCAGATGGACGTCGCCAACCCCTCGAAGTCCCTAACACCCACAGGCACTAACTCTGGGGCATCCACTTGCTAACCAAGCTGCAAACAGGAAACATAAACACAACAAAATGGTTGCTTCCTAATAAACCTCTTGTTTTGAAAAAAGCTCTGCTGGAACAGAGACCCAGTGAACACAATTGTTACAGGCCTAAGGGCAAAAGGTGTTACCCACCCAACAGACAGCATGACAGACTGAATGACCATCGACATGTAGTAGTGTCAATGGACAGCCCCTCAGACTGCAAGTATTGAGTGTGAGCTCAGTGACCACTCCATAATGAGACGTGCCAAAGACCTGCAAGGCTTACCAGGCCCTAAAGATTAGGACCAAACAGGACGCCCAGGCACTAGGGGGTTCTCCACGAAAGAACAAAGACCTAAGGCTAAATACAGCTACGAAGGGCATCAGTAGAGTGCTGTACGTACAAGCTAGCAAACCCTAGTGCACCCATTATAAACAAACTTTACATACCCCCCCAACCTCAAGCACTTTGCAAATGAATCAAAGACCTTTATGCAACTCAGGGTGAGGCACCCTATACAGTAGTAGAGGTTCTCTCTTTGGAGCGAACCCCTAAACCCACCAGTGAAGTCAATTTGTCAGGGCAGGGGCAAAGCCAAACACATGCACATGGAAGAGCAACCCTAAGCTAATGCAGCCAGAGGCAAACCTTGGAATGCTCATCAAGCAAATGACCCCCTAGGGGACTAAGCCAACGGATGGCCAACAATTGGAACCTGTAGAGCATAGAGCTGGTGACTCAAGGAGTGATCCTTACTTGAGGACATCAGGCATAGACAATAATAATTGTTAATAATAATTGTTTACCTACAATTGACAGACTAGTGTTGATGTGGGAGCCAGCAGCTCTCAGGGTGCAGCCACCTGACGGCAGGGCAGTGATACCAATGAACGTTTGAACTAACTGCTCTGTGATTTGTTTGTTACATTACTTTTTTTTCTTTGCAAACCTTGCAGTTGTCTATCATAAGAGTGATCATAAAGAATCCTCCAGCTCTGGTCTCCAAAGGACACCTGGGGCGTATATGACTCATTTGTGCAGATATATTTGTGTTTCTAGCTACATGAAGCAGCCGTTTAGCCTCTAGACAATAACACATTTTATTATTTATTAAATGATCTTCATTTCATTAGCTTCTGAAATTTCCCAAGTTTTTGCTTTTCTGTTGGACAGGGACTTTTTACAAAAACAGCTAAATAAACTTTTATTTTTGCATATGAAGGGTATTATAGGAATAAAGTAGAGAGCTAAGCTGGCACCTTATGCTGTTAATAGTATAATTTCCTCACATTGGACTCATTGTTAATCTGCCCTTAGTGTTCCATTCCTGTTTCCTTCACTAGTCAGTTTCGAAGTACTGTAGTAACTGAAAAAGTTTTCCTTATGCAGGAGGACGAGTTAAAGTTAAACAATGTCTTCTACAAGTTGGGGCGCCACGACACCAACATCGAGGATGTCGTCTCCGACCTTGATCGACTTTCGACAGACTCGCGACGTATAGAGGCCAAGCTCAACAGACATGCTTTTAATGTAAGCTATTTTATTTGTTAAATATTTATATTTATTTATTTTATATACTGTATATAATTTTTTTTTTAGAGAGTACCACCTCTGGAAGAAGGGGACCCTTAGCCTCAGAGGAAAGTACACACAATGCATTAGAAGGGATATTTAGGTCCCCTCCAATACAGTTTCTATGTTTTTTCTCTACCACCCCCCCCCCCTTCCTTTTGTGTGTTGTGCTTTATTAGATATTTAAAGGTTACAAGATGTACTTTAATTAATACAATGAGTGTTTAAAAGTTATGGATATCTTGGAGCTCCTCCACTTCTGGACAGGAACCCAAGGACGCGGCAGGTGTTTACCTTTTGGATCGCCACACTGAGGTGCTGAAACCATAAACTGGCAGCCCTTGGGTCTCTGGTGATGTCAATGAGCCTGGAACCCAATTCCTTGAGGAATCTCAAGGTGCTTATACCCCTGGGGGCCATGCATCTCGGATGCTATGAGAACAAAGGTGTATTGCCCTTCCAGTCGCCTGTTCTTGATTGATTTTGCTGTTTCCCTGTGGTTGGCCACCCCACCTGCTTGATCAGCAACGAAGTGTATGTAGGTGTCAGCCAGGGTACACACACACAGTCCCACACCAGCTGTCTGCCTCTCTTCCAGGAGGTATATTGTGATGCCATCTGGGCGCAGTGCAGGGTCATTCGGGTTTTGGTCTTCTAGGATGCGAGGTTCTCTCTGCTGGGCACTGAGCTGAGGCAAGGCTCCTCTTGATGATGTCATTAACATCGAAATCAGGGATTTCTTTTATTAATATATATACATATACTGTATATATATATTAATATTATACATACACAAGAAGGTACAATAGGTAAAACAAAAACAAAAGACCCGGTAGGACCTTTAGAAGATGAGACAAACCAAGTTATAATTGATAAAAAGGCAGTCAACACTCTGAATAGATACTTGACATCAACATTCACACTAGAAAGAGTAGTGAAAATGATGCTAGCACTATTCATACTTATTAAATGTGATAAGGACCTTTAAGATTCTCCCATCCTAAGTGTTGTACTGGAGATTCTCATGATCAAATAGATCACACTTTCTGGAACACCTGTCTGAAGGTCATCCACAGTGGGGCACAAGCAGGACCTAAGAGCATGTGGTGCTGCTCTGCAAGCAGTCTGCCCTCGGCAACACTGCAAGGCAGGTGATCAGAAAAAAAAAAGTAGAATCCTACATCCACCATAGCGCCAGATTCTATTTCCAGGTAGGATGAGATATGTTTGGGCATGTTTCCTTATGCCCAATTTCTCTATTTACCTTGCAGTACAGTTAATTTTTAATTTGGAGGTCATCCATTGGCATTATCATTTCTATGGTATGGGCTTGTACAATTTTTGGGTTTTATGCTTCACCACCTGCAGGATGGGTATGTGCTGCATAAGTAATTAAACTAAGCTAATAACTTCTATGTATTGTATGACTGATTTTTGTTTATTCAACAATTTATTGAGGGATGTCAATACTGTTATAACTATTAGAGTAATAAGTACTGACGAACATTCTCATAGGAACAATGATATTCAATATGTTTTTGTTTATTGTATAGACTCACCTTCTGCAAACAAAGACATTCAAAATGGTTTTGTCTAACATATAGCTTTATGCTACGCAGGTGGATTTCCTGAGGCGGCGAATGGAAATGCTGCAGCACAGCTCAGAGTCAGAAGCGACGATGGAGGTACAGGTTGAGGCAGTGAGGTCCATCGTCAACCGCCTCGATGATCGCCTTACAGATGCTCTGGCTCGCCTCGGCCTAGTGGAGAATACTACCAAGACACTGGAAAAGCGTTCGGCTCCACATTATGAAGACTTTCATAGCCCTTTCCTAATGGCTGCTGCTGCCCGCCCTCCCACCCTCACAGTCTACCCATCACCCCAGCAAGGTAACCCCACACAGCTCCCCTCCAAAATTCTTGCACTGTATCCATTTCTCTTCTAATAGTATTTTGTACACATGTATATACAGTATGTATAATATATAAGTATAATATCCATCTCCCAGTAGGCAAAATATACTGGAGTACAATTAAATCAACATTGGGTCAATGTCATCAATATTGATTTAATGTTACATCATCATTTGCTCAGATTTGCCCTTGAAGTACAAAAGTGACGTAGCATGCAACGAAGTATATTGCATAGATAGGTCCACTTCACATAAGTATCTGCACTACTTTAACCCCTGTACTGCATTGTGCAGTACAATAGAGTTGTGCTATTTGTTTTTTAATTATGCTATATTTTAATGTTTTCATCACTCTGTTTTGAAATGAAAATGGTCGAGTTTGGAAACAGTTTGACATTATCTTTACCTGAACATTTATAAAATCAACAAAAATATGTCCTTGACAATTGCACTATGAAGTTTTTGCTGAAACCAGATAGGCAGTGCAGTGGTTAAAGAAAACAAACCAATTTGTTATGATTGGAATTACATGGTAGTGTAATATATGCTTGGTGTGGTAATGTTCATTGTGGTGTGGTTACAACATATGCACTGTTATGGTCAAATATTCACAATGAAATCACAAATACATGATATATCTGAGAAAATATTGAAGCCGTACGATGGGATCAAACCCACATATCTGAACAACTTGGGCACACACACACTTTAATGCCGATCATGGTCCAGTTGTTAGTGCATGTGCCTGAGGAGTTCAGGGATGAGGGTTCAACCTCGTGGTACAGCTTCAGTATTTTCTCACTCAACTATTTTACTAACCAGTTGTGTGTAGACAATACAGTGGATTTGATTACTTCCTCTGGCTAAATCATATCTTATTCTTGGTTTGCTTATTTAACAAATAGTATTATAAATGCCAAGTTAAAACAAAAGGTAAATGAAAACGAGAGAATTATAAGAACCTAATATAGGTACAGTATTAAATGCTACATTATCAAACTTATACTAAGAGTGGGGGAATGAATATATTACCTTGGCTGGTCATGTAATTTAGGGCAAGAGGAGTTGAAGCCCATATGTCAATACTTTTGTAGTAGGCTGTTTAAAATACTTATTTTTACTATTTTTATGGTTGTGGATAATCTGCAGCGTCCCTTTTAGTCACTTGTTTGATAGACTCCTTGGTGAATCAGCGAACTTTGATGTCAGCTTGAAAACCCTGAGAGACACACATTGTGCAAAATGGTCATCCTGGATTGGTACTTTCTTTTAACAATTACTTATGGTTAATTTGTGATAAAGTGTATTGCATTATGGTCTTTTGTGCCTACCTGGCTACAGCTTGCAATCCGTTGAGATTGTCACTATATCCTAGTGGCTCGATCTGACCCTAGAGAAAGTTTTAACTCACTTTGATATCAGTATCTTGGTTATCTTTTGCTAAGAACATAAGAATAATACAAGAATAAAGGAAATTCACAAGGCCTATTGATTCACACAAATAGTTCCTATTTATATCCACCCAAACTCACTGAAATATGTCTAACCTATGCTTGAGATTATGAATTTCCTGAACAATTCATGTAGTTAGCTTACTTCTTGATTATGCACGAGGTAATACTAAATATTAACTAAATTATTTAAAGTTATGCCCAAAAATGCTTTGCATATTACTGGCTTTATATTTTATACAATTTCTGTACCTACTTTGGAGCAGAACAGTATGATCAAAACAGTGTTCTGGGTCACCCCAGTAATGCACCGTATCCATGGACCACGATATGCTAAAAGTTACACAACCTGAAGTCAGCCCGAACCCACTAGGAATTTAGAAACATCAAACTTGTACCAAATTCTATTATTACATGTAACCCACATACACACTCTGGTGTAATTTCTTAGGTTCTATAAATAAAATAATAATAATAATAATTACTGTATTATACTTGACAGAGACATGTAGGCTAGACTGGGAGAAGGTTGGACTTGGTTGTTATTGGTTTGGCGGAGAAGAGCTGACGTATCCTGAGGGAGTAGCAGCCTGTGTACGCCACGGGGGTCAGCTGTTGACTCTTCCAGCTCCTGGCACACAGCTGGACCTCCTCCTCGCTCGCCTTCACGATAGTAAGTGACTTATGTGAAATTTTAGTCTAGAAGCAGAAGCAATGTGAACCGGATAGCTACGAAGATTGTTAGTTTGTCAAAAGGCGAGCTTTATGTCAAGAGGATGAAGGGTATTAGTGAGATTTTTGAGTTCAGATAAGAAGGGAAGACAGAGCACATTGCTAATAGTGTTGGAAGCAGGTTTCGGATAAAAAAAATATGTTTAGCTCGAGATTCTCAAGCTAAACGTGCATATTCTCAAGCTAAACAAAATTTCTTTTATCCCAAACCATTTTCCAACATTATTAGCAATGTGCTCTGCCTTCCCTTCGTATCCGAACTAAAAAATCTCACTTTGCCCTCTTGACATAACGCTTGCATTTTGACAAACTAACACTCTTCGCAGTAATCTGGTTCACACTGCTCCTGCTTCTAATGCTGCTGGTGTCTACTCTATTGCCTGTTTATCTTGTCCTCTCCAATACTTCGTAGAAACTGGTCATACACTAAATGACAGACTTAAGGAACATAAAAGAAGTGTTAAGTCTGTAAACACAAACAATGCTCTCCTCTCATGTTAGGGATTCTAATCATCCTATTGACTGGCTCTCCACTGGGCCAGCCACACTACTGCACCATGCTGTGTGCCAGACGAGACGGCCCCAACCACCGACCTCAGGAGGCCTGGCAAGTGTTGGTCATGAACCAGAGCCAAAGAGTCTGAACACATCAAACAATGGAGGATGGCACCTCAAAACCAAACCCCAAAAAGCCCAAAGAAAGAAGCTGGCAAAGCAAAAGCCGACAAAAGGTGAGCAGGGTTTAAACCTTATGGACCCGGCAGTGGCAAAAGAGGTAGAAGTGGAGGAACCAGTAGTGTCTGGGTCCAAACCCTGTCTAGGGGAAATACTATGCAGGCTAAGTTCAGGCTCCTGCACAACTGCTTGACCAATTGACAAATCGCCTGAGGCTAATCCAACAGACAACAATGACACTGCAGGTGGAACAGAGCCACAGACAGACACCATCCAGGAGTTCCAAATAAGGCCCAACCAAGTCCAAACCTGGGACTGAACCAACTGAGACTTCTGTCGGTTCACCAGGAACCCGAACCTGGTGATCTGGGAAAAAACCAGAGCCTGGCTAGCTGACATGCAGACTGACTGACTGGGGACCCAAATCAGCCAGTCATTAAGACAGGACAATACACGAACCCCCCCAATAGACAGATGGGTCACCACTACCTGTGACATCTTAGTAAATATGCAGGGAGCCAGAGTCAAGATGAAGGGCAGACCCTAGATGCAGTAGGTTTGACACCCCACAATGAAATCTAACCAGTCCTTGAACCTTGAATGAATTGGGACATGCAAGTAAACATTTTCGAGGTTCAGGACATCTTCTAAGAATCTGCCTGCAAGACCAGGCAAACTTAAGCCAAAGTGGTTGTCTGATGAATGAAAAGCAGACTGACAGGGTGAGAGATAGCAGCAACTGAAATAACCTCGTAACAGCATCCTCAGGAAAGAGGAGAGGCAAAATGGTTAAGTACCAGTCGGATGTAAGGACTGGTCCAGCACAGCCTGCTGACATGTGCAGCAAGCCAAGTAAAATGCTGCCACTGTCTCCTGAAGGATAGAAGCGGTCATCTTGGGGGAAGGCTGCCGAAGCCTCTGACTCGTACACTTATATGCATAAGCGTTATCTGCCTTATGAGGAAGAAATACTGTAGTGTGGAATTTCTATGGGTAAAGAAAGTGTGAAGGTTTAACCCCAAGGCCATGGAATACCACCTACCAGGAGAAGCAGAGTTTAAGCCAGTGACACAAGAAAGGGAACATCTTGTTCCCATTCACAATCACAGATTGATTTGAGCAGTTCACCCACGAGTGTAGAATCTCTTCCAACACGCCTCAGCAGACATCCATACTCGCAGGCAACCCATCCTCTCTTCTGACCTAAATGGAAGTCGTACGTTTGTGTTCAGATGTATGGTGGTACAGCAGGCAGAACCACTCTTAACTGTCCTAGAACGGCACACAAGTGCTCCCCCTTCTTCAAGGGTATATAATGTAGGATCCACTCTGAAGGACAACATAATTTTTGTACATTGCATTTTCTTAGTACCATAAAACAGATTAATTAATTGCAATACAATTTTCTTCCATTAAGTATAAAAACTAGACAATAAAAAGCCACACAAATATAAAAAGTATTACAAACAGTGTTCAGCTCACTGTTAGCTGTTCACACTCTATGCTCATTGAGAATGCAAGCATTAAGCTGTCATGTGAAAATTAGTGCATTATGGATGATAGTCATGGTTTTCAATGAGATATCTTGCATAAATGTATTGTGATTCTTACTTTGAGCAAGTAGAAATTGTAATCACTTACCTCTTCATCTTGCAGGTACTATATATTGGACAAGTGGTACCGATTCCTTCAGCAAAGGGGATTGGACTTTTCTGATGACGGCCCAACCTGTGATGCCACTCCACTGGGCAGAGGGAGAAAATTCCTCAAGTAGCCAACCTAGTCATCATTGTGCTGGTGTCACCTCTTCGGGACTTGTCAAACACAAGTGTACGCACCGTTTACCATATGTGTGTCACATACTAGGCCTGCCATAAATTACCCGTCAAGGTAGCAAGATGCTATACATTCTCGGTCATCAGTTGCCCTAGTGTATCAAGACCTTCATAGGGCTGACTACACAAACATTGCCAAAATGTCACAATAACACACATTTGTTTTTAAGTACAGTTACCTAAATGCAGAACTGCACATCCTTTCCCGATACAAAACAGTTTATGAACACTTGTACATGAACAGACATGTTTGCACCGGTGCATCCCATGCCATCCAAACTTTGCTATATATTGCTATTTTCTACCACACATTATGTTTGTATTATGAAAACAATATAACCACACTTTCTATGCACATTTTTTATATCAAAATTACTTTTAGAAAATACATCTAGAAATATTTTGTAGATTCCTTTGGTCACCATTTGTTGGCATAAAATTCTGGTCCAGGAAAGACATGGTCTCGCTTTGCTGGCAATTAACCATTGCTACTGAGGAACCCAATTTTAACAATGCATTCAACCTCATAGTATATTGGCCTCTGATCACTATAATATGTCATACACTGTGAAGCATAATTTAAGGTATGGAATAAACACTGCTGTTTGTAGCAAAACTGACCATCATATTGTACAGTATTCACTAACAACTAAATAATGGTTTATGAATGTATTTGTACAGTACAACTGTGCTAGAGAAACATCTATGATTTTAATCAAGACAACTATGTTAATATTTATAATAATAATTATAATAATTTTATTTATAAAATATACATAGGAACATATTAGTGGTCAATTACTAGATACATAAATTGTAAATTGTATATTAGATAAGACCAATAATACACCCAACCTTCTATTCATGCACATGCTCCAACCCCACAATGTAAACAAGTTAGCAATTATCCAAATGTGGTTAGAGGATGGGAGCCATGCTCGTGATCTCTCATCTTGTCAGTAGTGTACACAATCATGAGCACAAACAGTTACTCCTTCACACATTTATTTATAATGATACATGGTATACAAATACTGTACTTTACAGTAAGATTTCGGTAATCCGAATAAATTGAGTTCAAGTTTTTAGCTGCTCATCTCTAATAATAATTCACATTACCGAGATGTCTGCTGAACTCTAACCAAAATAAATTTGAGCTCGAGTTTTTGACTGTTCAGCTCAAATATAAATTCGAGTTACTGAGATTTTTGACAACGGGAAACCTGAATGAATTTAAATTTGAGTTTTTGACTGCTCAACACTAATGAAAATCTGAGTTACCAAGATTTCTGATAACAAAAACCTAGTTAAATTATATATTTTTCCATTTTTGGACTTTCCAGGTAAAAATTCAGCTAACTTGAATGTCCGCTTAACTTGAATGGAGTGGACCCCATGTAATTCAGATTATCGAGCATAGACAGTAGGTAGTGTTACCTTGCACAATAAGTCACAAGAACATGATACTTCAGAGAAAATATCAAAGCCATATTATGGGATTGAACCAACATCACTGGACACTGGTGCACGTGCTTGTTGAGTCCAGGAATTCAGGTTCGATCCCATTTTACAATTTTAATACTTTCTCAAGTGTTACCTTCATTAGCATTATTTATAGTCAAATTATGAGGAAATTATTTTAATGCTATTACAAATTTTAACCTAGATTCCAATGATCTGTTTTGTTTTTAGGAATTAACAGTATACAACCAGAATAGTGTACAAAAAATATATATTTATCGTTAATGCTTGGTTTCTCATATCCTGACAAAGAACTAAAGTACTGCACCATAGCTAATGAAGTAGTATATGCATGCTGTAGTGATAATTTTGAAAGTAAACCCCATATCCCTATACAGTATTTGAATATATGGAAGCTTTGACAGAAAATTAGTAATGTACAGTACACGTAAAATCAAAGTTACCGACACTACCAGCGAGTTGAGTATGTAACGTACGATTGTGTTACGTTGTTGGGTAGATTAGAACTGCCCACGCCGAGTACTACATTCTTGACTGGAGATTGTACTGGTTTGCTATTCTCAAATCGCTGGCTTATATACGGTTACTACACCTCACAATAAGATAGGCGGGTGGAAAAACCATTACCTGTAAATAGGGATAGGATTATAGCTTGTGTAATTAGTTATACCATTAAGATGATGAGAGAATGGAGTATAGGTTTACTCGCTACAAGTACAGTACAGTACTAATGTATGGTGCTAAATAGTCTTCCTGGGTTAGTGCCTTCTTTTGATAATTACTTAAAAGTAGTGATGCAGGAAACTGTCTACAGTCAGCCCCTTTAAAATTAATGGGTTATAATCCAAGAATGTGTTAAGTGTTTTATTGGAACGCAGAATAAGACTTCCCATAGGTGCAATGCTATAAATGGCAGGTGTGCATTCCCAAACCACCAATAATCACCACAAAACCAATAATTTGGGGATTTGTACAAAATTCTCCATTATTATTTACCTTGAATGTGGTTATTCTGCTAGCAAAAGTTGACTGTTTTTGAGGAGTGAAGAGATCTAGTTGCTGGAAGATGGCAATACATCAGTGGCAGAGGATGGCTACTCATTTTCAGTCTCATTGGCTGTTTAATGCGGGAAATGATGGCTTGATAGCAAACACCTGTGGGTCATCATCAGTGTCACAAACTGCTGTAGAAGTTGATTGTTTTGGGTCAGACTTTTTCTTGACGATTGTTGAGGCAACTGATAGTGACTCTTGGGAGACAAGTGTTGGGCTGGAGATGTTTTTAGGAAATATGTTCTCAGTATTTTACACAACTTATTTTCAATAAAAATTTGTTTATAGGGTGAAAGAACTTAAAAACATTTTTGAGGCATTTTGATATCTCGGCATCATCATCTTACTCTCCCAAAAGTGTCTAGGCATCATCTACCAGCTGAAGTGCCTCTGCCAATTTCTTGGCTATGAACAAATTTGCTGAGGGTGTCTTAACCCTTAAACTGTGCAACACTTAAGACAGCACAACAGTCTTAACGTAACTGAGCAACAGTTACTCAACATGACATGTTGAGTGACACGAAAGTGTGCATCACTTCATATGACGTTTTGGAGTATTGCGCAAGATTTAAAAGTCCCGTGGCTACACGGGGTTCACATCAGCTTCCTCAGGGCTCTTGTAAACAGACGACATTTAAAAAAAAAATCGTGGGCAACATTCCCAGGTGGGAAAGCCTTGGTACTGAGCAAGCCTTGGTGGCTCACTCAGTACTGAGGCTGGTGCATGCAGCATGAGCTCACAGCACTGCTGTTCAGCTTGTGACCACAGCATCGCATAAAAATGGCAAAAATATATGTAACTGGTATTATTTAGCAATGCTAGTATTAAAGAAGACCCCTGACTGTGATAAAAATTACCAGGATTCTGATAATAGCAGGATTGTTGTGATAATTTGTGCTGCGCATAATATTGTGGGAGGAGTAATGTTGAGGGAGGGAGGGCTGGAGCGTTGTCTGCCAAATCTGTGTGGTCGCCCATTACTGTCTGCATTCACCATACCAGCTTAGTGGTTTGCTATGTTAAACACAAATGTAGATACTTATATATAACGTGTATATATAGTGTAATAACAGCAAAAGGAGTGTTGGGAGAAGCCATTTTGGTGAGGGAGGTGGCATCATCTGCATGACTTATGCTGTGTAAGGGGTGACCACTATGCTCTTTGGGCACTACACCAGCTTAGTTGAACAGTTATGGTGAACAAAACATGTAGATATTTATAAATAATGTGTGTATATAGTGTAATAACACCACAAACAGTATACGTGAAGGAGGAATGTTAGTGTGTCTGGCCTTGTACCAGTGAGGGAGCATCAGCTGTGTGTGGCCACCTGTGTATACCTGTGTGTGTGTGTGTGTGTATGTGTATATATATATATATATATATATATATATATATATATATATATATATATATATATATATATATATATATATATATATATATATATATATTATTTATACCTGTGTATGTAGTGTAATAACAGCAAAACTATGTGTTTATTGTTTTATGAACATAATAATTGAACCACTAATATGATATATATATATATATATATATATTATAATATATATATATATATAATATATATTCCCACCTATTTATACCTGTGTATGTAGTGTAATAACAGCAAAACTATGTGTTTATTGTTTTATGAACATAATAAATGAACCACTAATATGATTACAATACTTTTGAGTATAGCAATGATTCATACATTTTATTATATAAATATATCACACTACACACTATTGAATAATATTACTGCAAAAAAATTTGAAAAAATCAGAGACATTGAAATAATTAGGTAATAATATCTTTGTGGTAATTCCCACCTGACAGCTCAGACGAAGCAGACCACCACCGACAACTGCTCTGTCAACGCCTCTTTTTTGCCAGACTTCCCCGCCCTGTTGCGGCCAACATATGCCACCTACGATTTTATGAAATCGTAGGTGGCATATTTTGCCACCTACAATGGTGACATTGTTTTGATGCCACCCACAATGGTGGCATCGAAGCACCTACGATGCTTCTAAGCCCATCGATTGTGTGTCTGGAAAAGCCAGAGGTATGAGTTCGGTCCCACCACATTCCTCCTAATTTTTTTCTTGTCGATATATCACGATACTGTATTGTGGCTTCGGTTACCAGTAATCTTTTAGATTACCAGAAACCTTTTAAGACGTCTCAGTTGACTTTAAATATCATGACCTTTAACCCACCATTAGCACTCTTAGGTACTGTATTTAAAACACATCACTCTAGAAACAAATTACATACAGGCTTCCTGTCCCAGACACCAGAAATTGTTATTACTGTACTATCATTAAGTAAGTATGAGTCTAAAAATATTGGCAAAAATAATTCACTACAGAACATGTTAAAGCACTTGTACTTGAGGTGGTAGTCAGTGATAGGATATTCTCGATACAATGAACTCTCCTTCATGTGATAAAAGACAATACATTAGAAGTGTACTGATGTATCACTGGAATCAGACTGCTTTATGCAGTATCGATACAATTTAGGCCTTGTTTTATTGTAACAATTTACCTTGAGGCGGTTCCAGTGACCAATGTCCCTGCAGCCTGCTTTCTTATCAGGTGGGTACAGTTCTTAAGATATGAAAATTGCAATATCAGTATCGGTACTGTATGATCGGTCTTTTGTATAATATCTGTACTGCATTGGTCAAAATATTGGCATTGGCACACCTCTATAATCAACCCTCAAACTTGTCATCTGCAGGTACCATCACCCACATGTTGTGATATACAGTACATATATTAATTTTAATATCTGAAGAACAAGATTTTAAGTACTATATTTCCAAGATACTGTCCCTTATTAATGGCTTCTTGCATAAGGATAACAGAAGCGTATTCAAAACTATCGTCTTAACCCATTAAACTGCTAAAGTAAATGTCAATTTAAACTAATTATTGAAATTGAAGTGTCTTTCCATGTAAGCCTGTTTTGGGAGTTAATAATGTCATTAATGAAACAAAATTTTACTAATCAACATTAACTTGCCATTTACGAAACAGGTTGTGGAAATATCTATCAAAAAATCTTAAAAAGAGCTGCTTGTAGCCAAGGGTTAAGGCCTTTACATATTGAATTTCCATAGAACCAATACTAATCTTACATGAAAACATACATGTAGTAATATTGCTCAGGTATTGCATCAGTATCAAATACATACATACACACACACACACACAATATATTATGTGAGAAATCTTTAAAGAATTCTGATAAAGAAAGAGATCTAGGGGTGGTTCTAGATAGAAAACTATCACCTGAGGACCACACAAAGAATATTGTGCGCAGAGTCTATGCCACGCTTTCTAACTTCAGAATTGCTTTTAAATACATGGATGGCGATATACTAAAGAAATTGTTCACGACTTTTGTTAGGCCAACGCTAGAATATGCAGATGTTGTGTGGTGCCCATATCTTAAGAAGCACATCAACAAACTGGAAAAGGTGCAAAGACATGCTACTAAGTGGCTCCCAGAACTGAAGGGTAAGAGCTACGAGGCATTAAATATGCCAAAACTAGAAGACAGAAGAAAAAGAGGCGATATGATCACTACATACAAAATACATACAAAATAGTAACAGGAATTGATAAAATCGATAGGGAAGATTTCCCGAGACCTGGAACTTTAAGAACAAGAGGTTATAGATTTAAACTAGCTAAACACAGATGCCGAAGAAATATAAGAAAATTCACTTTCGCAAACAGAGTGGTAGACGGTTGGAATAAGTTAGGTGAGGTGGTGGAGGACCGTCAGTAGCTTCAAAACGTTATATGACAAAGAGTGCTGGGAAGACGGGACACCACGAGTGTAGCTCTCATCCTGTAACTACACTTATGTAATTACACTTAGGTAATTACACACACACACACTCCCATTGATATGGCAGTAAAATTATTTAACACTGTCCAGAAGAGAGAACATGGCATGACCCCAAGGTAATGTTGTCAAGGCTCTAAAGATACCATATGGAGAAGAGCTGAATGTTTAACATTACATTCATTACCAATAAAACTTGTAATGAAACAACCTCCAGAAGTAGCACAGCACATTATACAGTACCAAGACACGACTGTTCCTACTTACCTTGTGGTGATTCCGAGGATCAATGACCCTGTAGCCCGGTCTCTGACCAGGCCTCCTGGTCTGTGGTCTGGTTAACAAGGCTTTTGGACGCGGCTGCTCGCAGCCTGATGTATGAATCACAGCCTGGTTGATCAAGTATCTTTTAGAGGTGTTTATCAAGTTCTCTCTTAATCAGTGGGAGGCCAGCCACTTATGCACCTTATGTGTGGAGATTGAGTGTTGAAAGTCTTGGGCCTTTAATGTTGATGGAGTTCTTTCTGTGTACCTATTGCACCATTGCTTTTCAATGGGGTTATTTTGCACATCCTGAATATATGCACCTCTCTGGTGGAAATTGAACCAGAGTCTTCCACATAGCAGGCAGGGTTACTAACCACTATACTACTCACACTCTACTGCTTATTTTATGCAATTTTGCTTGTAACTTTAGATTCTCACAGCAGAAAAAAATGAATACAAAAGCTGTCTACATCAAGTAAAGCTTCATCACAGCTTCACTATCTGACTCTGAATAAAAGTTATTATCTATCAAAAGACTTACTCAATCCCAGGAGCTTCCCATCAGAGGGTGGCCACAGATTGGACTCTTGCAGGGTCCATCACCACACAAACACTAAGCCAGAGAGACTATATCCGAGACCTTCTTTGAATGAAAATATATGTTTTTATTCAAGTTAAATCATTCTAATACCCAATTTCATAATTGATCCAGGTTGAAATGAGGGTAATGAACACTGCCCAGTACTGTATCAGCTAGGTTGAGATTCAAGTTTTGGACTACATGCAGGGAATCTAACAGCTTGGGTGTCTACAATACCAACCAGGAGACCGGGCCACAAGGGCACCGATTTTTGGAACCACCTCGAGGTAACCTTTGTCGAACACTAATCACATCACCCAGAACACTCCCCAGCTTCATAGGCATACCACTCAGAATATGCCGCAGCTTGGTATGCACAAACTGATTACATGTTTATATCATTTATACTATCCCAGAAAGTATTATTGATAAATGGTATCAAATGAATATTACCGATTTTATTATTCTTTATTGCTTTACATTCAAATAATTTAAACAAAAATTTGTTGAAATACCCAAGAGCACGTCATATATAAATATACAAAAATATATCTTGAAACAAAATTCTCTAACATGCTCGTATATCAATGAGAAAGGGAGCCTTTTTACAGACAGAAATACTGTGCTTCAGCTGCTCATTTCATTGGACAGGAAATACACGTGTGAGCTTAAATAATAACAAATGTGCAAACTATAAACTAGACATGACAGGGCTGATCACACAAAAGACCTTTAAAATACTGAACAAATTGTAATATGTTAATCCAAACCACTTTTTAAAAAAGGGGGACCTTTTTTAGTCATGCACGGAGCAACAGCTTTTAGCTTAACAAGCCACAATGTAGAACTGACAACAGGAAACACTTTTTCATCTATAAGGCAATAAACCCATGAATTCACCTACCCACCAAAAATAAATGCCAAGACTGTCTTGGCATTTTATATCGGGGGAAAAAAGAGGGACTTCTTCATGCCCATTAAGGCCACTAGAGATGGTGGCCCTCGGGTAGATAAAGCATGTATGAACGCAAATTACCTCAGTAGATCAATCAGTACAGGTAGCTCTATATATATTTGTTGACAAAATTCACAGGGAGAGAGAATACAGTCATTTTTGTACTATTGTTCTGTCTTTAGGCAACAGTCACTTGAGCAATGAAGAGGAAAATAAAGTTATGGTGGCAATATGATCTCGCCATCCACTTGTAGCATTTTATTAAGACTATATTATGTTTGCGATTATTGTCGGCCTCACAGGCCCAATACGAGTGAAACCAGGAAGAATTGGACTATGGTGCCCAATAGGACTACAGTGTGTTAAGCCTTAAAGGTTAACACACATCAAGTCAGGCCTCAAATCCTGTGACCAAAAGAGGGACTTCACAAGCCTCATTCAACTACCAATGGGTCAAAGAAGCATGGCATTTTCCCCACCAGAGGAAGGTGGTGCTCACAATAACCCATCAAATGTCATTTTCTCTGACTAACGAAAATTAACCTCGAAATGTTTGTTGCTGGTTAGGCAAAACAGTTACTTTTTTACACCTCTGGTTAGGCAAAACCACTTTACATTTAATACTTGTTAAATCATATGCAGAAACTGGCTCAAAGACAGTTAGTATCATCCCTATGTTATATTTATAAGGCATGTTAAAATTAAATAAATCCCCCTACACTATATAGAGGAAGACCTTAGGAAAACACATCTAGTATTCATTCAGAAATTTGTACTACAAAGACCTTGCATATAATCAATTCGACAAAGAATTCGAACACCAGAAAAGATCAATTATAATGCAACAAGTAGGCGGGGCAGAGAGCTAGACCTCACTTCCCCGTAGTCACCGTTAGTCAAGCACATACAAAGACAGCCACAGGGACACACTCCTCCGAACCAACCAACTCGAGGCAGCCATCCTCTACACAAACTGGGTTTTCACTTCAAGGCCTTGACAGAACTTACAAAATCTGTAAAAAAACAATGCTGGTGGATTTCGGCAGTGAAGAAGATTAAAGGATTACTTATGCTTGGAATAATCTCTTTCAATAATGATATATTGTCCTATATTTACATTTAGAGATAAACACCCAATCCACATTTATCAGCGACAACGTACCAGTCCATCCTGGACCATTATCAAGCCCTCTCTTTCTTTTCCGATGGGTTGATTAGATGACTAATTTCCAGTAACATTGTAATTTCCAAACATTGGATCTTACTGTCTACTTACTAATGTTCACCTAATCAGTGACTAAGGGGGAGCAAGGCCTAGCTAGCTCTAGATGCCATGCCTCCTGTAGTATAGTGCATGCACAAGCTACCAAAATTGATTAGTCTAATACTTCATAACACCCCACTGAGTTGAAATTCCCACACTTATGGATTTATCTATTTTACATAAAAGATTTGAACTACACCAAGTCCATCGCACTCTACTGAGTGCAAGACTGTAGTTCAAATATTTACATAAAATACACAAATACCTAAGTTTTTTCCTTTATTAATATGTCTCTGATTAGACATTATTATTACTTACCTCACTAAGCGTTAAAACAATTGCCAAAAAATTATTAAATTGGAGGCTAACCTATTAAAACAAAAATAACAAAGGTTTCGCAGCACTAAAATAAATATATGACAGCAACGAAGGCTACCTCAGTCAGCATGGGTAAGGAGCTAGTCAAGTCACTATCGGGATGAGCATCAAAGAGTTAAATCAGAATCTGAAATAACGCAAAAACAAAAATTTAACGACAAAATATAAGGTACATGTTGGAAAAAGCATGAATGTGAAGTACAGAAATGCATGTGGATGTGTGAGAGCATTAGAATCCAGTTCTTTCCCGGCGAGTAGACAAGAAGTCTTTTTTTTTTTTTTTTCAAGAAACTCAAATGACAAAAGATCAACAACATACATAACGATTCAAGAAGAACTACCTACTAACTACCTACATTTTAAATCTATTCTAACACTAAACAATAACTCATACCATAGCTAGTTCACAACGAATACAAACTTATATTTTTAACAAATCGACAAAAATTGTACAAAAAATTTTAATTGTATTTTCCAGGAGATTTTTAAGCCTTGTGATTTTTAACACTAATGGATAGACTGGGGATTTAAAAATGGATGGGATAATGCCTCTTCCGCAGTAATACGAGTCTCCGGATTTGGATCCAAGAGTTTCAAGAGTAAATGATAAACCAGAGGTGGATATACAACAGCTGAAGTACACGCACTAGATGTACTGCCACACTGGAATTCACTATTCACATTTTGGGGCAAAATGTCTCGAGACATCCCATGGGATATTGTTTCCATCAAGTCTTTACGGAAACACGTTGATGCCGCCTCAGTTACCTGAGCATTCATTTTATTAACACTTTGCTGACAATCAATATCTAAAGATGTGGCTTTGTTTATAGAGGATATCAAGCTATCTCTAGAGAAGAGAGGAAAATACAACTGTGGCATCATTTGACTTATCTGTACTTTAGTCCTCTTTTGGGATGACAACAAGCATGCAGAACCTGAAGGAATCGGACCCCTTTTATGGAGGTTTGCCCCATGGACTTGTATTCTTTTCTTGCCGTTATATCCAGAACTCTGCGAGGATCCGCTCGATTTCACAGGAGGAGCCAGGCATACACAGATATCTCGCTGATAGCATCCTGGGCATTGTTCCGTTTTGACATTTGAATTGCCACACGCTCCACGGCTTCTCAGAGTGTTGTTCCGTAAAATTTCACACACTTTCATGAGGTCAAGAGGTTTCCTATCTTCGCTGCATGTAAGTAATTTCCCTGCAAATAATAATAAACTTTAATTATATATATTTACTATGATTAAAGCACATAAAATACAAATGATTAATTGTATTCCTGAATAAAAACTATCGCACATAAAATGTCTCAAGTTCGACATAGAAATATAAACCAGGTTCATGAAGAAATTGGTGATGCCCCAGAGTGAAAATTGAAAATTACCACATTTTCCAATGTATGGGGTGCACATTTTTTGTCCATCATCCTAATATATATTGTATTTGAACACTACTTTATAATGGTCTAGGATGGACCAAATCATCGTCTCTTCATCTTCTGGTGTGTGGTTTAGTCATCATATCTTCAGCCATGTTATTGTGACTCCTCGTCGGCACATATTGTATTTACATCCACAAAATAATGTTTTCCCAAACAAAACCGTTTGAAATTCATTCTTGATAAATGTATAACGAAACTTTAAAATTATTTTATTCTGCAAAATATCCCTAAAAATAGATGGATCAACCTATGAATGCTGTTGGAAATTTTTTTGAAAATTTGGATTATCGAGCTTCACACGTATTGTTTAAATGCACTTGGCCCCGTGCATGCAAGTCAAAATTTCAAGTCTGCTTTCAAGATATGGATCACTAATCGTCCTGTCATCTTGCCTAATAAGTACTTATGTCATTTCCTTTTTATGGAATTAACCAAGCAGTTAAAATGAAATGAACAGTATTAGTAAAAAATTAAACATGGTAAATTTGACAGTTTTTATTTGTTGATCTATATAGGTTAAATAGGTTGCTCGGGTTCAAACATTTCTGGTTAGGCAAACAAAAATATATTTACGAAGTAACAAATCTAGAGAACTGACTGCCTCATCCTCTTATAGCTCCACACATTTTCAAGGATTTATACATAGAATCATTTATTTACGGTACACCTCTTAGTATTATTTCTCGCATTCACAGAGATCAAACAGCATCAGGATTAATCAACTATCAATTAACTTAAAACATTTCCTTGTCAACTGGGAGAAAGTTGGGAATATTCACTGGCCAACTCATTGTATACTAACAGTGCTGCTGTCAGATGGCACAGATGAGGAACCTCTTATTGTTAGTAATAGCAGGTTTATTTCATGTCAAGTACAGTATTGTTCTGAGCTTATTTTCAAGTCTAAAGGAAGTTTCCAATGGTCATTCAGGGACGGGTTGAGAATGTTCTCGCAAATCTTATCCTCCTGTTATGGCCTGGCAGGTGGTGTTTAGAAATATTCCTACTACACCAAGATGGAAAGTTATTCTGGGCCAGGCTGGAGTTCACAATGTCCAATAGGGAGCAGGATATTGCCTTTAGGAACAACAAAGTGGCCTATTGTCAGAAAAGTTTACATTAAATATACCCCCCTTGCATACTGAAATTTGAAACTATAGTACTGTAAAATCATTGTATTTTTTGGACTATTTAGTTACTTAAATATGGGTACAAGTTTGTACAGTTTATCTTTATATATACAGTATTTCCTATACACTTATCTCGATGATATCCTGTCCACAAATACACCCACCCAACTGGCTACAACTTTTACGATAATTTCAATGTAACAGCGCCCCCGACCAGTTTTATCCACCTCAAGTCAATACTTTCATTGAAACTGGCATTCTGAAGGAGTGTATTTCACTGAAGCAGGAACCCTGTGTATTATCATCCCCATTTTCACAATCCAAGTACAGTACTCAATTTGTCTACTTTTGCTGCACTCACTTGTACAAACCTACACCAACTTGTACACCTACAGCATTAAGGCTGATGGCTGTAGAACCTGAAAAGTGTACAATTTGAATGTTTTTATTTGCAATAAACAGTATTACATTTATACACTTTCATCTAAATTTTGAGAATATAGATGCATTGAAGTGCGAGAAACGGCCATCATATTTTTTTTTTAATTTTTCACTAATAGTTTTGTCCTCCTCAATTCCAATGGTTATAAATTATTTTTGTTATTCAAAGTATCTTTTATAAATAAGTATAAATTTTGTCTATGTTAAACATGAATTGCTGTTCCTATTATGTCTCAAACATTTTCTTTCAAATCCACCTACCAAGTTTGGCTGCTGCTTTTCGAACTGTACTGGTACCAAGTATGGTTATGATCTCTGCTAAAGTTGACAAATCATCAGCTGCTCGGAAGAATGGGTAACGCCCACTCAACAGGCACAACAAAATGACCCCAACAGACCACATGTCAACAGCTGAAAAAATAAATCATATAATTGAGATTTCTTAACTTCCACTCAAGAAGCAACAGAATGACAACAGGCTGCATCAGTCTATAAAAAATAAATGATATGCAATATGCAGCAAAGTACTTTCTTGAGGTTATCTTGACATGATTTCGGGGCTTTTTAGTGTCCCCGCGGCCCGGTCCTCGACCAGGCCTCCACCCCCAGGAAGCAGCCCGTGACAGCTGACTAACACCCAGGTACTTATTTTACTGCTGGGTAACAGGAGCATAGGGTGAAAGAATCTCTGCCCATTGTTTCACGCCGGCACCTGGGATCGAACCCAGGATCACAAGTCCAGTGTGCTGTCCGCTCGGCCGACCAGCTCACTTTGCCAAGTGATCCAGATTTCACAGGTGACCCTTTCTGGAATCTAGACTTTTTCTGTAAAATCTTACATTTGAAAGAGAGGGTTGGACAAATTTAGTCCACTGTTTATAGGGATTAGATAGGGAAAGGTTCAGGTTTGTGAAGTGCTACAGAATTACATAATATAATGAAGAAAGAATTACATAATATAATGAAGAAAGAATTATGCCTTTGAGTATGAAAAGCACCTATTTAAGCGAGACATGTTAATGTTCTCTATGGCAAGATCGCTAATAGTACAGCTGAACAGGATCAAGACAGACATGGCAGGATGAAATTCTGCACTGGTACAATCGAGATGTTTTAAACATTCCAGTACTCGACTAGCTGTGCTAGAGTTCCAAAAGATTTCCTTCTTTTTTTCCATGCTTTTGCGATTTCATTGTGCATACTCTATATTCTAGTATTAATGGACTTTCACTAAGAACAAAGCAGGGAAAAAAAAGGATAAAATTCCTCATAGGCACTTGGGATGGTCTTGCCTGTTCCTTGGTCAGGATGTCGCAGAAGAACCTCGGGGGCTCTGAAGCCTGGAGTGCCAGCTCTTGGTGCCATTTGATTAGGCCTACCAGCACATACTCCACAAACTTTAGCACTTCCATAACAGTGGCACGAGACTGGTCGCAAAACACTTCCAGTTGGGGTCTGAACCTATAAAACAATTTGATTAATGTAGCAGTTCATTCTCTGGTAACACACATTACTAATTTATTTATAACATTTCTTAAGAGTACAAACTACATTTCATTATAATGCATCTTCTATGTGTAAGAGCTAAATGGTATTGCTGGAAATAAGTAAAGTTGACCTACTAGACCCAGTCATTTACCAGGCTGCCTGAAAAGACCTAGAAAGCAAATAACCCTGAGATGCTAAAGGCATCCCTGGAAAACCACCATGCCAATTATTAACAAGAACATCAGTGTTGTTTAAACGTCATTGAGTGGGACAACGACAACACAAACACCTGTGCAGTGAAGAGGGATTCTTACAAGATCAGATTTCATGTGGACTAGGCAGAGATTTGGTCAACGAAGTTTCATTGTAAAAAGGTTCCACTGCATAAAGTTCCATTTCAGCTGAAGTTCATTCTATAATTATTGCCAAAACTTATCACATACACAAAAATATGTAAATACATATAGATCACAAGGATTTAGTACATAGTGTTGTGCAAATCCTTACCTCTTGAAGAATTTTGGCACTCTTTACAGGTTTAGGCAGCACTCCGTTTTGGTCAGGGGTTCCTGCAATGCCAGACACTCTTGGACTTGGACTACACGTTATCACGCTACGCGACTGCCGCTGCCGCTGGCAGAAGGTTTTACTCGTGAACGAAGAGTCACAGCTTGTGTTTAACTCCCCTTTAATCTTTCCTATTTTTAAAGCCGTTGTTCTGTTGCCCACTGTCAAGTAAAAAATATATTAACTAAACAATATCCTAAATAAATGACAAGTGAGAATTAAACAAAATGGATGTGTTTTATGGGATTTGAAGTGAAACATACAAAAAACCAGCATTGAATGTAATGAAATGCCCTTTTCCGGGTGAGCCCCGGAGGCTCCCTGGAGCTTATTGGGCTAATGTACTTTATATTAGACTGGGACATTAGCTATGGAAGTCAGACCTACCAGGGACCAGAGCCAGAACCTAGCCCCCTTCAGAGAGGTTTCAGGGAGCACTGGCCCTGGAAAACCCCGAGGTAGGGAGTTTTCCCTTATCTGCCATCGACCGGGGTTAGGCACCCAAAAAGGCACCCATAACAAAACCCCCACATGGTAAAAACTAAAACAAAAAATCGAACAGAGAGGTAGAAACTCCCTACAATCCCAAGGAAACAAGCAAACATCACACTTTACTGCTGCTCCGCTCGTCCACAAAGCCCTCCCCTCCCCGAGAGAGGGAGAGGCCCCGGGCCTCACCGCGCCGGCTGCCTAACACTCCAGTTCAGAAACTAAGCTTAAACCCACGTGAAAAACTGCTGACCAGTGAGAGGGAGGGTTGCCAGGGAGCCTCCGGGGGCTCACCCACAAAAAGGGCATTTCATTACATTCAATGCTCGTTTTCTATAGGGAGCCCCTACGGCTCTCTTAGAGCTACATACCCAAAGAGAAGAAAATAGAGACTTACCCGGGAGGCGGCCGCCACAAATGCCTCAACGCGAAGTCGAGACAACTGGCTGCAACCTGCAACCCAAAGCAACACAAGAACGCCCAGGAGCAAGCACATTCACCAAATAACGGGCAGCCAGGACCCTGTTCGATCCTCAAAATCCACATGCCCGAATATGAGCCCTAGACATGTTATCAAACATGGCAGCCAAAGCTGCAAACTTCCTAACGTCGTGGGCGTGAGGATAGACCGCAGGCTGGCTAGACTTAATAACCCTGCAGACAACCTGGGAGACCCCAGCCCTGGAACAGGGAACGAGGGAAAACCGGATCAACCCAAAAAGCATCCCCAGCCACCCAAGCCGAGGCGCGCAGGTAACGGCGAAGAGCCGCAACCGGACACAACACATGATGCACCCTCGGCCAAACCAACCAAGCATCAATGACCCACGGACCCCTCCGGAAAGCAGCCGTCTCGTTCTTCGCCAGAAAAGATGGAGAAGGCTGCAAACATACAAACCTACCCCCAGGACCAAAAGAGCAGAAACCCCTGCGCTGGAGGAGAGCATGAAGTTCCCCTACTCGACCCCCAGAGGCCAATGCCAACAAAAATAGGGGCCTTGGAAAAACAATCTTGGACCAAAGGGGCCACTACAAACCAAGGAGAGGGAAGATAAGAGAGCACCCTGTCCAAGGACCAGGACAGCTCAGGCTGTGCATGAGCAGGCCGGAGGTGAAACAGCACGAGAAAGCTTATGGAACGGGGCGGATGTGACGTCCACCCCGAACGCAAGCTGGAGCGGCTCCGCCAGTACTGCACGATACAAAGCGACAGTATTAGGCATCAAATGACAGTCCTGAAAAAGCCAAGAAAGAAAAGACAAGACAAGACAACCCGATCCGAAAAAGAAGACAACTTACGAAGAGCAAGAAAATGGTGAAAAGATCGCCAGGAAACTTCATACTGTCGCCGAGACGAAGCTCTCAGGTGGGACACCATCAACGAAGCCACCTGATCACCATAGAAATGGTGATAAACCCACCCACGTCAAAAAGACCAGACACAAAGAGCAGAGGAGAAGGTCGAACCAGCCCCGTACCGGACCGGTCCAACCTGCTGAAAAAGGCAGAGCCGCGGGAAACGCCCCGGGTTTGGACACCAAGCAAACAGTGCCGGAAACCAAGGCTAGGCCGGCCACCAACGGCCTCAAGGACTACTCTCCATGGGAAGGTCTCCAACCGAGCCAGAACCCAAAGCAACAGCTGGACTGGGGGAAGGAGGTACAGGAAACCCCACCTTGACCAGTCCTGCTGAAAGGAATCCACTGTGAAGGCCTCGCAGACAGGCAAGGGCATTACAGACTGGGAGACCCGAGACCACGCCAATGCAAAGAGGTCCACGTCCGGGAGTCTGGCAGATCCAACGAAACGAGTTGTTGTCGACCGTCCATTCCGTGGACAGGAAAATAAAGCAAGACAGGTCATCTGCCAGGACGTTGGACACTCCCTGGATATGAACAGCACAGAGAGCCAAACCCTGAGAATCCAGCAGACGAACCACTCGGAGTGGTTCTGCTCAGAGCTCCTCCACGAGAACCAAAACATGCAAGACTGCAGTAAAGTACTTAAGCATCAAGACGCCTCCAGCATCTTGCCCAAAATGCTGGAGGCAACAAGGCCCCCACACCCGGAACAAAGCCAAGTGAATCTACATCCTCATGGAGCTTATCGGCAAAAAATTCCCCGAGAACCCAAAAATGCATTACTGATGCCAAATTCATACATGCCCTGTGACCCTCTGCAATAAGGGATAAACAACCAGCACAAGCAACTTAATATGAAGCTGCCAATTTCCCTCAATCCTGGCGAGAGCAAGAGCAAACAAGCAGTCCTCAAGCAGAGAATAGGAAATGCTGCCCAAAAAAAACAAAGAAAAAATGTTTGACACCTCACACCACTCAAGCATGCAGGAATGCAAAAAACATATGCCTAAAAAAAATAGGATTGTCAGCCAACCAGAATAAGTTCGAAACCTCAACATGGCCCAAATTCAACATGAAGTATCGGAAAAGATCCTCACGAGTGACTGAAGCGGAAACTTGCGACAAAGATTAGGCTGCTAGAAATGCAGCCTTGACACCCACAAGCACCAAGGGCTAGGCCTCTGTATTCTGCCATAGATTAACAGAGCCTGATGGGAAGGGAAGGTTGCATTCTGCAACAGAACATGATAGGATTGCATTCTGGGTGGGGCTCAGACCCCTGGCAACTAAGATGACCCCCAGATCCAACTAAGTAGGCCATGCACAAAAAAAAGTGCTGTACCATATAAAGTATGAAAGAATAACACAAAATACACAAAACTGTAATAAAACAATTTATACCTTATTAATATACTATATTTATATATAAGAAGGCACAACTGGTTACGTTACTACAGGTTTTGGTAATTAAGAACAGTATTACATTCATGACTAACCCGTAGTCCTCTCAGCAAATTCTCATTTTTTTTGTTTACAAAATCAACAAATCTGCTAAAATTGTGAACTACAGTATTAGTAAAAACTAAAGCAACATAATATTGACATTAACACCTCGCAAGCCGAGGTGGGTTACTTTGGTTCATATGATCCTGGTTAAACATAAATATTTGCATTTTTTATGAAGGGTAAATTGAGATTATGGCCTCACAAAGCCACTGTCATGGCAATTTACTCAACACACACATGAAAAGAAAGGAAAGTGACTATTTTAGGTCCATCCTGGACCCTAATCACAATTTGATAGGGGTCCAGAACAGACCAAAACGTTGTCACTTTCCTGTTGTTTGTGTGGATTAGGCATCCAATTTTCAGTCATATTATTGTAACCTATTACCTCTTAACATTTCTTCATGTTAAGTCCTAAAAAAAAAGCCTGAGTTTCTGCAAGACTTACCCTGCATCAGGGTGACATCCTGAAGGTGTTTGGCAAGACCCTCCAGTGGGACATTCGGAAGGCTCGTCGACGGTGCTTTCCTAGGCGATCTCCTCAAATTCCACGTGGCTTCGTTCTTTCCTTCAAGGACGCTGGTATTACTTTCTTGACCTGCACCATTAAATATTTGAATAATTACAGAGGGAATATTCATTAACATTTATTTTACAGCAAAATTCAAGTTCAATAAGCCATATTCTACGTACTCCAATTCTATACAGTAATGTAAAAGGGACCATTTTATTCAACATGGCAATTTCTTTCCCTATCAAGATTTAAAAAACAATTCCCTTTTAGATTCTTACAATTAATTTTCTTTTTTATCTTATTGAAGTTTTGTATCTTTAGTAGACATTGATGCAAAATAATCTCTCTAGGAGAGTTGTTCAAACCAAAACAATTTGGGACCGAGTGCCGACCCGCGGATTCTACATTCTTTTCATCTGCTTGCCGCTAACATCTCCTGCTCACACATTATCTTCCATGTGTCACATGCTCAATTATCCCGGTGGATTACCTTCCCAGTTAACATAGCACAATTTTCCAAATTTTAAATTAAGTTGTGTGTGCAGCACCATAACAAACACCAAGCCTATTAGTACAACACAGTCCTCCAATCTTATTGTACCTGCTTTAGCTTTAGCTTTGATGTCCAAAGGGATTGGAAAGGATGGGGGAGGTAGAGGGATGGGGAGATGAAATTCAGGAAGAGGATGCGGGTGTAGAGAGTGAGGAGGTTTGAAAGTTCGGTGGCCTGTCCACCATGGGTTGACATTTGCGTATGTGTTGTTTGTTTACGTATGTGTTATGTTGGGTTGTCAGTACATTGGCTGGGGGGGCTAGTGTTTGTGACCTTGTTGGTGTCCTAAAGCACTAGAGCCGATGGAGTTGGCTGAAGAAGGTTAATCTTAGCAACATTGGGGTAGTTACACTTCTGATACCACGACAAAGGGTTTTTTGGTTTTATATTTTTTTGTAGGAGTTTTATTTATTTATTTTTTATTTTTTTTTTTATTTTTTTTTTTATTTATTTTTTTTTTATTTTTTTTTATTCTTCATTTGGTGTAGATCGGGTCCGGGATGGGCCACTCATCTGGGTCGTCTGGCAGGCCGCTTAGTATTTGAGGTCTTGGGAAGGCCTCATCATGGATGTGTCTGATCACTTTTTGTTGGAGAGTGATTCTTCTGGTTCTGTGTGGTGGTTCGTGGATCTCGTAGTCGCTGGTGGTGTTTTCTGCTACGTAGGAATCTTCGGGGTCTAGGACATACATGTTCTTCATGCGGTACAGCTGTCTTCTGGCCAGGTAGCTGAGCCTGATGTTCATTGGCATAACATTACATATATGAGGCATGTCTTCTCATCTCTGAACCTGTGAGTGTGTGATGAAGCCTATACTCTCCAGGTGGTCTGTTATCCTCTCTTCTGAGTGTCTGTCAATTTACACATTATGCCCATCTGTTTAGGGCTTTAATTGGTACCTTTTTCAATACTGTACTAAATTTAATGTTCTCGCACCATTTGGTACCTACCTTGTTTGCAGTGACCTGTGGTGCCACGGCCAGTGCAATCGATTCACAACGGATTGAACCCCAAGTTCAATGGCAGGGCAAGACGTTTGGGCACATTTCCTTACATATAATGCCTCTTGAAATTGATAACAGTAAGAGCTAGACATTGCAATGTTTTATTTTATCAATGGTCAGTTTGTTTTTAGAGTTATTAATTTTAATGTTAATTTTTACCACTTCAATTGTCATCGTTTTCACGTCGAGTTATGTATGGGAAGAAATGTTTGTTTGCAGAGTAGGTTTCCCAAGTTTTTATGTAGTCTCTCAATCCTCCACCACTCAGAGATGAGTACAGACAGATGCTGGTTGAGGGAGGTGGTGTGTTTTGGGCTGCACAGTGAGGCACCAACCTCACTGTGATGAGGGTTTTATTTCAATTTTGCTCTCATCATAAGCAAGATGATTAATTCCATGTTACATGTGTCCCCATTTCATGTATTTTAAATTAGACAACATCAGCCAACAAACTGAATGGCTTGGGTAGCCGGCGCAAGGGGTCTGGGCAAGGAGCTGCACGGACAGACGGTGCAGCGGTGAGGTGTGATGTTTGCTTGTTTCCCCAAGTTGTAGGGCGAGTTCTGCCTCCCTGTTCGGTTTTGGTCGCATTTTCTTACCAAGTAGGGTTTGTTTTGATATGCCTACCTTTCTGGGTGCCAACCCCAGTCGATGGCAGACATTGAATGCCCCAACCACCTAAGGGTTTCTATGGGCCATTGAGCTTTTTGCCTCTCTGAGGGGGGCCAGGTTCTGGCTCGTGGTCCCCAGTAGGCTGAACTCCAATTGACTGATGCCCCCAGGCTAATATAACACATCAGCCTGATAGCTCCAGGGAGCCATAGGGGCTCCCCCTCAGAAAAAGGTATCTTTACAGTTCACCTAGCAGTAAATATGCATCTACGAGGTAAACAACCTTTACAAATTGCATCCTTGGGAAGGGCAATTTTTGGTCTGGGGAGAGAGACCAAATGGGCCTTTGTCTACCTAGGAGTAAAAAGGTAATTGGGAGTTAGGCAACTAATGTGGGTTGCATCCTGAAGAAGGTCAGGAGGAATGAGATAAAGTACAGCAAAGTCTTCTGTCCTTGGTGTGGCTTAGGAAACAACAGAAGGGGAGGGAGCTTTGCTCACAAAGGACACACGACCTTCACCATGTTTAGAAATTTCTGCAAATAATCAGCCTATCCTCCTGTTTTGGTAGTACAGTACTTACAGTAACAATGAGGACCATATTGACCAGACCACACACTAGAAGGTGAAGGGACGACGACGTTTCCGTCCGTCCTGGACTATTCTCAAGTCGATTGTCTCTCACAATCGACTTGAGAATGGTCCAGGACGGACCAAAACGTCGTCGTCCCTTCACCTTCTAGTGCGTGGTCTGGTCAACATACTTTAGCCACGTTATTGTGACTCATCGCCTGCATGAGGACCATAGTATAATATATACGGAAGTACAATAAAACTAGAACATAGAACTCTGAACTATTGAGTTGGACAAACCGGAAAACTATTTTTTACTTGTGTTGCTTTAACAAACTAACCTATTGTAACCTCCCTAGGCCTAATATAGTACTGTACATGTGTATACAATACTAGGCCTAGGAATATTTAAGTTCGTGTTTTAGCTACATTTATTTTAAAAGAATTCCTTACTAGTCAGTATACGACTACTGTATCTAAAAACCAAGAACGTACGAATTCGTGATTATTGACGATCATCACAATAGGTACTATCTAAACAGGAGGACAGGTTGAAATGAAGCAAAACCTTATGAAAATACAATCCACCTTACCTTTATCATCATTATCATCCTCAATCTTGCGAGAAGCTTCTGCGTTCCTGGTGTGTTTACTTGGAGAGTCCTGAGGTAAAAGAAAAAAAAAAGTTAAAAAAATAAGCCTTAAGGTAGGTTTATAAAGTACTCCTTGAGTTAGCTTCTATGTATTTTAAGTGCTTTTTCCTGATATCACTAGTTGCTTGCGATCTAAACATCATAAAGCTAATTTATAAATCAATGAATCTTTACTTCCTCTTTCACACACAGTATTACATCTTCCTCATGCAATACATTCCTGAAAACTTTTGTGCAAAAGTAATTTATGCATATATCTAAACACAATATTAAACCTACCCCATGTTAGGTCCTTTAGAGTGTATATGGCACCAGCATAGAATCTCCACCAGGCCAAGCACAAGAAAAATTGTGAGAGTCCAGAGATGTGCTACAAGACCAGCATCAGAGACAAGAGATGTGCTACAAGACCAGCATCAGAGACAAGAGATGTGCTACAAGACCAGCATCAGAGACAAGAGATGTGCTACAAGACCAGCATCAGAGACAAGAGATGTGCTACAAGACCAGCATCAGAGACAAGAGATGTGCTACAAGACCAGCATCAGAGACAAGAGATGTGCTACAAGACCAGCATCAGAGACAAGAGATGTGCTACAAGACCAGCATCAGAGACAAGAGATGTGCTACAAGACCAGCATCAGAGACAAGAGATGTGCTACAAGACCAGCATCAGAGACAAGAGATGTGCTACAAGACCAGCATCAGAGACAAGAGATGTGCTACAAGACCAGCATCAGAGACAAGAGATGTGCTACAAGATCTGCACTAGAGACAAGAGATGTGCTACAAGACCAAGTTTGCTCCAAGAGAACAATTCAATGCAACTCAATCTATCATGAAAAAAAGTGAAAAAAAAAAACCAGACGCAGGTTTTTCTATGGGTTTGTGATACATTCACAACATACTCTAAGATAAACCATGAACTCACAAGAACAGGATGTAACAGAAAATATTGAAGCTGCATCATGAGATCAAACATGCATCCCTAAACATCTATAGTGTTTAGGGATCTGCATCACTTTAAAGCCCTTCATGGCCCGGTCGGTAGTGCGTGTGCCTGAGGAATTCAAAGATGCAGGCTCAGTCCCATCTTACAGCTTTAATATTTTCTCATACTCTATGATAAGAAGGAATTGTCATAGTGGATAAAAGCAGTCTTCCCCCACCCCCTCATATGGAGGAAAGCAGAATTAGCAGGCCAAGAGTGTAAATTTGAAAAATGTGCTCAAAATATATTTCGTACCTGTGACGTTAGTGAGGGTAGTAAACAAATGGAATGAGCTCGAGACCTCAAGAGCAGATACGAGATATTGTCACTAGGTATACAAGTATAATACTAGATACAATAGCTATGATGCAGGGTTCTGGAGCTAGAACTTGCTCTCATAGGCTCAGGCACAAAAGTACTCACTAGGTCTGTCATTTTTCCAGTTTTGTGTCTTCCTCCTACCAGAAAAATTATTTTGAAAACTCAACTTTCAAGTTGTTTAACAAGCACAAACATTCTCGGCACACTTTCCTCAATAAATAACTGAACCCACATGTATGAAATGTAATGAAATGAGTGTGATGATGTTTCAGTCACATCCTGGACCCTTGTCTAGTCTGTCCTTATCGTGACTTAATTAGGGTCCTGGGTGAACCAAAACATTGTTACTGTACTTCCCTTTCATTTCATGTGTGGGTTAGGTGTCATTATTTCCAATGTAGGAAATAATGTGCAGTAAAGATGTGTGGCTCCCTGTTTTCCACCTGATCAACATCGGGCACCTCCCTAGTACAGTATGTTATTGCAACCCGCTTACCATAGGAACATGCGTTTCATGAGCCTTTGTAGGGGTTTTCCGACAGTCCAGCGTAACAGGAGTCCCAAAATTTTCCTTCTTTGGGGAAACGGAAATGGAACACTGCTTCCTTGGAGAACGCCGCAACGGCTGCAACAATAATTTTGCTTGTAAAAATCTACAGAAACTAATTCATCTGAATGGTATACTATATCAAACTAATGTGATGTGATAATTGTAGTTCAAGCCCAGGCTCACTACAACAAATTGATATTAAACAATTTAAAAAACTGTAGAGTATTTTAAAGTCTCAATATATGCATAACTTTTAAAAACCCTAAAAAACCAGTGTTGAATGTAATGAAATGACATTTTCTGGGTAGAGTCCCGGAGGCTCCCTGGAGCTATTGGACTGATATTGGCTAATATTAGTATGGGGCTTCAGTCATATGGAGTTGTCATGCCTATCGGATCCACGTCATGCCACTAGCCAGAACATGGTCCCCTCAGAGAGGCGCAGGCAGCAAAGACCTATGAAACTCACACGTATGAAAGTACAGTATTCATGTCTGTGAACAATGCTTGAAAAACAAGCATATCAGAAAAACCGACACCATTTACTAAACTTTAATACAATAGGCATATAATATTGCTGCTGTTTTTGTACCTACAAATTAAACAAAATATCTGAAGTTATTCATCTAAAGAAAACGAAATTGTTGTGGCTTTTTCCAAGAAAAACGGGATTTCATTACCATGTCACTATTAAATTCACTAGCTAATAGTATTGAGAATTCTTCTTAACACTTTGGCGTACCCCGCGCGCCACCCCTCAACTGTGCGATATAGGACCCAGGGTGTCACGGGAGCGTGCGTAAATTCTGAAAAGTGTATACTCTCTTCAACTTTGTCACCTTAATTCTCGTCCTACGAGATTAAATTTTGTATCATTGTGTTCGCAATAGAATTCTCTACAGCACTAAATGCATATAAACTCCAAAAGCCCGGCTAATTACCCGCAGCAAACAGAGAAAGTGCGAACAAGTTACCCAGGAGCGCGCAAACGCGATAAAATGTTTTCACTATTTTCACTCTGGTCACCTCAATTTTCGTGCTAGGTCTTTCATTTTGGTCTCAATGGGTTCGCAATAGAATTCTCTAGAGGAACATTAGCACATAAAATAAAAAACCTGGTCACGCTCCAACCGCTGACGAGTTGAAGACGAGCCATGCGTTAGCCGCAAGTGAGCGCTCAGACGCCTTCCAGCTACACTCCCAATTCCCGCCCTTTTCAAGCCTTTCTTTCGCAATTTTCTTCCTGGAAGGGCCTTGTTCATGATCACTATCCATCGTGGAGTAAGTGTAGATAGTTTCTAAAGCCGCAGAAAGAAATATAGCCACGGAAAATAGCCGAAATGTTCACACGTTTGAGATGCAAGGGGAGGCGACATTGGTCACAACAGTGGAGCAAAAACAATGGGCCCACGGCGTGTGCCAAGCCGCCTGAGGGCCACAAGGCTCAACAAAGAAAATGGGAAGACATCAGCGTGCATTTTAAAACCAGTCCCCAAAAAATTGGATAAAAACCTGATTTTTGGCGATTATTTAAAGTGGATGACGCAATGCTGCGTCATCCCCGGCATTACCGACAGTAAACGGATGACGCAATGCTGCGTCATGCCCGGGCGAAAGTGTTAAAACATCGGTCTCTGAACCATATCTCGAGTTATCTTGAGATGATTTCGGGGCTTTAGTGTGCCCAGCGGCCCGGTCCTCGACCAGACCTGCACCCCCAGGAAGCAGCCCGTGACAGCTGACTAACACCCAGGTACCTATTTTACTGCTAGGTAACAGGGGCATAGGGTGAAAGAAACTCTGCCCATTGTTTCTCGCCGGCACCTGGGATCGAACCCAGGACCACAGGATCACAAGTCCAGCATGCTGTCCGCTCGGCCGACCGGCTCCCATAAACATCATAAAAACATATCTTTTGAACGAACTTAACTATCAGTATTAAATTAAATATAAATCCTTTTTCCACTTTTTTATAAAAATGCATCTGAAGAAAGCCGATGCGGGAAGGAGAGAGAGTAGCCATTTTGAGCTTTGGGCATTACATTCAATGCTGGTTTTCAGTGGGAGGGGGGGGGAACCCATCAGCTCCCTGGAGCTAACTACCTAAAGAGAAAACAGAAGGGACTTACCTGGGAGGCAGCTACACCGCACAACTCATAACAAAGACGAGACAACTGGCTGCAACTCCCAACCCAAGATGACGCAAAACCTCTGCGGGCCCAGCCCATTAACAAGGCATTGGGCAGCCAGGACCCTGTTCGATCTCCAACACCCCCCCAAATGCCCGCCCAAGACATATTGCCAAACACAGCAGCCAAAGCTGTGCACTTACAAACATCATGGGAGCGAGGGTAGACCACAGGCCGGCTAGATTTGATAACCCTGCAGATGACCTGAGAGACCCAAGCCCTGGAACAAGGAACAAGCGAAACCAGGTCAACCGCAACTCTGCCAGTCCTGCCGAAAAGCATCTACTGCGAAGGCCTCGCTGTTGGGGAAAGCTGCCACATAGACCGAGAGACGCCTCGACCACGCCAACGAAAGAGTCCAACTCTGGGGGTCCCAAACATCTGGCAGAGCCAACCAAACGAATCGTCTTCAACCGTCCATTCCGTGGACAGGGAAATGAGCCGCGCCAGGAAACTTCATACTGTCGCCGAGACGAAGATCGCATGTGGGACACGATCAAAGAAGTCACCTGATCACCATACAAATGGTGATATACCCTGCATCAAAAAGATTAGACGCGAAGAGCAGAAGAGAAGGCTGAACCAGCCAGGTACCTGACCGGACCGATCTGCTGAAAGAGGCAGAACTGCGGAAAACATCCCATGTTTGGACACCAAGCAAGCATGGTGCCCACCCCTCAAACCAAGGCTGGGCCGACACCTAGAGGCCAGCAGGACAACTCGCCCCTGTTAAGTCTCCAAACAAGCAAGGGTCTGAAGCAACAGCTGGACTGGGGGGGGTGGGGGGAAGAGGTACAGGTAACCCCACCTGGACCAGTCCTGTCGAAAGGCGTCCACCAAGACGGCCTCGCAGTCGGGGAAGGGCGCCATATACAGTACATCGGAAGCCACAGAGACCACGCGTGCCCGGAGGTTAGAAGTTCACCTCCGGGCACCTGTACAACTGGAAGAGCCAACTGAAGGAGTTGGCGTCGACTGTCCATTCAGTCAACAGGGGAATGAACCGAGACAGGCTATCTGCCAAGACATTGAACATGCCTCTAATATGAACCGCATGAAGAGCTAAACCCCGAGAACTCGGCAGAAGAGCTACTTGAAGTGATCAGCCCCATAAAATGCAGAGACCCCCCCACCCCCACCCACAGTTCAGACAATGAACTACCAGAGCGCAGTCCGAATGGAGCCGGATCGAAGAGCCCTGAGCGAGCCAAATCCGACACAGTGTAAGTCACACTTCCGCAAATTTCCATACCGTACTGCGAGCCCAACGGAAGAGCAGAGCCCACCGCCCCTAGCCAGCCTGGTATGCACTGTTCACAAAGCTCAAGCCTAGAGAGGAGGCATCCATGAACACATCGATCCAGGACTCCGGAAGGCACCAAGGCATTGAACCCCGAAAAGCCTGAAGAGGAAGCGGCGACGCAGCAGGCGACACACGGCCCCATGGGGAGAAACCCAGCGATTGCAAGCTCAATGGAAGGGATGGCCCCGAAGGAACCAGAACAGACGCCGCAACCAAACCAACCCAATGGGTAAACGATCACAACGAAGTTCAGACTTCCACACAGCTGCTCGAGTTACCACTGAGTGACCCAGGACCCCCCTAAGAAACAGACGATGGCGAGACTGCAGCCGGAGTAACGCCGTCAGAGGGAGAGACAAGGACACTGTCCAGGAAGCCCAGACAAGGCCTAGCCAAGTCCAAACCTGGATGGGATGGAAACGGATGGGACTTCCTCCAGTTCACCAGGAACCCGAACCCGGCAAGCTGGGAAAAGAACCAAACCCCTGGCGAGCAGACACGTGGACTGGCTGGGAGCCCAGACCAATCAGTCGTCAAGGTAGGCCAGAACCCAAACACCTAAGAAGCCCAGGGGCGTACAAGCACACATTAAGATGCTCAAATGCACCCTCTTAGTACACCTGCAACACTATAGTGAGCTCTCGCCACTCAAGCGTACGGGAACAACAGAAGGTATGGCAACCCCCCCCCCCCCCAACGAAAAGAAACGGCAGTCTACAAGCCAGGAGACGCCGGTAAATTGCAACTTATCCAATACGGTGAAGAAGACCCGAACTCAATGGCGGCAGGGTCGAGCCTGAACCAAAGTCGAACCGACCAACGGCCCCAAGTCCAGGTCCCTAAAACCAAAACGGGACAGCCCTGGGGCATTCGAGCGGGTGACCAACAGAGCTCACTGCAGCAACCTAAACCTAGCACCTCAGCTGTAGGAGAATGGGTAAATTGGAGCACGAGCAGAGAACAAGTCTCGCAAGTTCCAGGTCAAACGTGCCGTTGACCCAACAAGCAGCGTGACGGAGGCAAAACAGGTGATCGTAACCCTGTGACAGAGTCAACGAACAACCCTCAAACTCGCACAAGGCAAGAAGGGGCTCAGAGGACCCATCCATCGGTCAACTAAGCCCCGACGGGGTTTTCCAGGGCCCGCAGGGGGAAGTAACCCTATGGGAAGCCCAGGCACTGGTGCCACCAAAGCCGGTTGTAACCCCCGTATGTATCCGGGCAAACTGGCCCCTGTAAAGTGAGCAACCTCGGAGGCCCAGAGGAGGACCGCCCTATTGCACTTGGGCATCACCAAACAGGTGCAATGTTGTAACAATGCATCCTACTGAATATAATAAATGACACACTCTAGCAGTCACTAACATAGATTAATTAATTCCTACAGATAATAAGCAAACACACTAATTATAGCATGCAAATATGTCAATCACCATGCAAATACATATATAACTTCACTGTTAGTATCCTACACTAGAGAAGATACTCACAGGGTTAACACGACTTGTGGTGCTGGACAGGATGCCAGAGATGGTGCTGGTAGAGGGAGACAGATGACGAGAACGCTTGATCTTCTCGTACTCACCAGCTTCCTTCTATTTGAAAACAGTATAAATATAAACGCCAATAAAGTTAATGCTATAATTACAACAGTTAATACACAATGAAATCACAATAAAATTATATATATCTATGAGAAAATATTTAAGTAAAACAATGAGACCAAATCTGTGTCCCTCAACTCCAGTCAGTAGTGCATGTACCCAAAAATTTCAGGGATGTGGGTTCGATCCCATGGTATGCCAACAGTTAACTTATACATTAAATATTTTCATTAATATGCATAATTTCCTAAGTCTGCAATTATGCAAAGCAATGAAATCAGCCACAGTAGTTATAAAATATAAAATGATCATTAAATTACCCCAGGGGATCCTCCAAGCTTCCTCTTGGCAGTTTTGTGTGTAGCCAAAGGTAGAGTATCAACAACGGGAGGTGTAGAAAGTTTACACGTGACATTCTGCGTCATTGATCGCCCAACATCAATAGGGTTGATTTTTTTTTTTTGTCCAGCATCTTGAGCAAGACCAAAGTCCACTAAGGAGTACCTAATAAATCAATAGGGAAATAAGTTAGTGCATATCAGCACAAATAAACAGGCGATTTTAAGCAACATTTAATATGCAGAGAACAAGTCACAATAACATTGCTGAAGCAAATAAACCAACCTCATACACACCAAGTGTGGGTTGGGTTACTTGCTTGAAATTCAATTGAAGTGACAATGTTTTGAGCTATCCTGGACCCTTATCATATGATGACAACAATGGGAGACAAGAGTCAGTATAAAGCAAGAAAGATGATGAGGAACTTTCCTATCAGTGTCTACCTACCAGTGACTACAGTGAAGTGATATCTAGCTTTATATGCCTCACCTCCTAAACATTTATATCTGGTGTGCTAATTGCCTCTTCCAACATTGTTTTCATCATAATTATTTTTATAAAAAGCTGTGGATGAAAATGGTTTCAACAACCTATTCCTTCAATGCATTCCACTTGCCAACTACAAGTACTGACAACAATTAACTTCCTTACATATCTGACTCAACTATGTGCCCAGCTTACACTGATGCCCCTTTGTCCTAACTCCTTTTAATTTAAATAGGCTTCCTTTGCCCACTTTGTCTATTCCCCCAGGATCTTGTAATCAGTTATCATATCCCCCCTGTTTCTTCTTTTTAAAGTTGTAATAGCAAGTTCCTTTAACCTGTGAAAAGAGACGAGAAGTAATGCCCTGATACAGGTCCGGAATGAACTTTAAACAATATCACTTTCACTTTACTGGGTTACGAGATTTATTACATTTGGACTCGCCCAAAGTCGCCCATGGGATTGGATGGCTGAAACTAAATCAGAACCATGAACCATACAGCAATGCATGACACAATAAAAAATACCCATGAAGCAGAAACAGGCTCAAAACCAGCTGAGGATCCAAAGAGCCACAACTGGTGAAGAGCTTCGAAATGAAATTGTCAAGGCACAGAAAAGTGACCATCAAGCCCCAGATTTAAGCCCCTGAAGTGGCAGCCTCTTGATCATCACAAGGTTACGTTTCTAGAAAATCGAGCCAAGCTAATTTGGAAAGTGAACTTGACAGTGAGGGAGCAAGTTTGGATCCAGACCTAAAAAAACATACTTTTTTCATTAATTTCTTGATAAATCACCAAATCCTAATACTTGGTTTTTAAATTTAATCCATTCCCAGAGACTTTATTCTTAAACCAAAAATTTGCAATCTGAAACAAATTTTCATTTCAAAACATTTGGGAACGAACCAATGCCTGATCAATTAGCAGTAAATATGGTACCCAGGAGTTAGTCATCAAGCAGTATGGGTTGTATACTGGATGTCAGTCATTGACAGGATGTCCTCAATAAGCTTGCTAGGCTTCCTTTCCTCGACAACAGGGAAATAAAATGAATTAACAGAAAAAAAACAGTGTTGAATGTAATGAAACGGCATTTTCTGGGTGAGACCCGGAGGCTCCCCGGAGCTATCCAGGCTGATATGCTAATGTCAGACTTTGGCATCAGTCATGTGTATGGAGTTCTTTGGGCCTACCGGGGACCACGGCCAGAACCTGGCCCCCCTCAGAGAGGCAAAGGGAGCAATGGCCTATAGAAGCCCCCGTGTGGTTGGAAGCATTCTATGTCTGCCATCGACCGGGTCAGTCATCCAGAAAAGTAAGCATCCCAAAACAAACCCCTATTCTGGTGAAAATATTGCTACCAAAAGCTAAACAAGTGGATAGAACTCCCCTAAATAAAATGAGCAAATGATCATGACGTCACACGTCGCCACGCCGCTGTCTGTGCAGCTCCCCCCTTCCCGGGAGGGTGAAGGGGGAGCCCCAGACCCCACACGCCGGCTATCCATCCTTAGTTCTTAGGCTGGATGTCAAAAAAAGTGAAAAACCGCTGACCGGAGGGAGGGATGCTGAGGAGCCTCCGGGTCTCACCCAGAAAATGGTGTTTCATTACATTCAATGCTGGTTCTCTGGGGGGGGGGGGAAGACCCTTCGGCTCCCCGGAGCTAGCTACCCACAGAGGAAAAATGTAGGGGCTTACCCGGGAGGTGGTCGCTGCTCGCTCCTCAGCTCGAAGTCGAGACAACTGGCTGCATCCGCTGACCCAAAGCGACACAAGCCCGACTAGGCCCAGGAACGTTCACGAGATAACGAGCAGCCAGAACCCTGTTCGACTGCCAAAATCTCCGCACCCGAATGTCAGCCCAGGACATATTGCCAAAGATGGCGGCAAGAGCCGTGAACTTGCGTACGTCATGGGCATGGGGATAGACCGCAGGCTGGCTAGCCTTAATAATCCGGCGGACGACCTGGGAGACCCGCACCCGCAAACAGGGAAGAAGGGAAACCGGATCAACCCAAAGCACATCCACAGACACAGAAGCCGTGGCTCGCAAATAACGGGGAAGAGTCACAACCGGCCACAAAACATGATGCACCCCCGGCTTGACCAACCAAGCATCAACAACCCAAGGACCCCTCCAGAAAGCAGCAGTTTCATTCTTCACCAGAAAAGAAGGAGACGGCTGCACACGAACAAACCTATCACCCCGACTAAAGGAGCAGAAACCCCTGCGCCGGAGGAGAGCATGAAGCTTACCAACCCGACCCCCAGAGGTTAATGCCAACAGGAAAAGAGCCTTCGAAAAACAATCCTGTACCGAAGGGGCCACACAAACCGAGGAGAAGTAAGAAAAGAGAGCATCCTGTCCAAAGACCAGGACGGCTCAGGCGGCGCATGAGCAGGTCAGAGGTGAAACAACGCACGAAACAGCTTGCAAAATGGCGCAGACGTAACATCAATACCGAAAGCAAGCTGAAGCGGCTCCGCCAGCGCCGCACGATAAGAGGCGACAGTGTTAGGCATAAGGAGACAGTCCTGGAACAACCAAGAGAGAAAGGACACCACCACCCGAACAGAAAGCAAAGTACAACGATGAAAACACAAGAAGAAACGGAAGGACCACCAGGAAACTTCGTACTGCCGCCAAGATGAAGCCCGCAGGTGGGACACTAATAAGGAAGCCACCTGATCACCATAAAGATGATAAACTCGAGTCAAAAATACCATACGCGAAGACTCGAGGAGAAGATCAAACCAGCCACGTGACGTTCCGGTTCGAACGTCACCAGTGGCAAGTAGGGCAGATCCCCCTACAAGGTGAAAAGAAAAAGAAAAACAAAACCCCGCAAGAGGACAACGTACCCCAAGGAACAAAGTCGGCTGCTGAAAGGGTGAAAAGAAGCTGCGCAGCACCCTGCGCCCTTGACAAGTGCAAACTTCCTCATCCTAAGGTAAACAAGGGAGACAGAACACCCAAGCACTCAAAGGGCAGACAAAAAAAAACTGAAGTTAAACGGCCCCGCAGATTCAGGTCCCGAGGGACCTGTGGAAGGGAACCCCAAGCCCCAAGGGCAGTAATTACAGGGCACCTAGGGAAGGTAACCCTAGGCGCATGCAGCCCGAGTACTGAGGACTAACTCCTGGCTCTCGCACCCCTGGAGAACAGCCACCACACACTAAGCACAGCGCTGCAAAAACACTGGAGCCAGAGCACACGACCGTTGCCTCTAGCATCAGCCTAAGAACTAAGGGTGGATAGCCGTCGTGTGGGGTCTGAGGCTCCCCCTTCCCCAGGGGAAGGGGGAGCTGTGCAGACAGTGGCGTGGCGACGTGTGATGTCATGATCGTTTACTCGTTTCGTTTAGGGAGTTCTACCCACTTGTTCGGCTTTTGGTAGCAATATTTTCACCAGAATAGTGGTTTATTTTGGGATGCTTACCTTTCTGGGTGCCTGACTCGGTCAATGGCAGACAGAATGCTTCCAACCACACGGGGCCTTCTGTAGGCCATTGCTCCCTTTGCCTCTCTGAATGGGCCAGGTTCTGGCCGTGGTCCCCGGTAGGCTCAAAAAACTCCATACACAAGACTGATGCCATAGTCTGACATTAGCATATCAGCCTGGCTAGCTCCGGGAAACCGAAGGAGCTCCCCCCAGAAAACTTCTAGTTAAAATAATTATTTACGATGAATAAAAACAGAGGACATGACATAGGCCAGAGAAGGTCCTAGCTGGAGAGATACTGCCACAATGTCAATCAGCAAAAAATGAAAAAAAACAATTACAAGTCATGTGCCAAATAATGTATTAATATCACTTCAAATTAAGTTAAAAGCATCATGCTATTTCCTAACACAGTTGTAGTACCAACAACAATGGGATACTTCAATATGCATGCACACAATAATCTGTAGAAGAATTAATACCTGTTCTCTCAGTCTTCATAAGGACAGGTGATACACCCTTCAGTATTGCTATAGCACACATCGAGACTACCCGCAGTCCATCACTTGAGCTGTGGTAGGTGCAGCATGTGCATATGGAAAAATAAAGGTAACTGCAGAAGGTCTATTTGACCTATACAAGACAGCTCCTATCTATCTATATCTATATATATACACAGTATGTGTGTTTGTGTGTGTATATATATATATACAGTATTTTATATATACTGTATATAAAATAATATATATGAATGTATGCATGTCAACCCAAACTCGTTCATATACTGTAAACAGTATTTCTAACCTGCACTCGGAACAATCCAGCAACTCCATGTCTATTATGTTACCCGATACACTTGTCCATAAATCAACAACCCTGTTTACAACCTAATATCTACCCAGGTCTTTCTTGAATCTAAACTTCTTGCAATTTGTATCCATATAAACTCTCTCTACCATTTCCTTAAGTTCTCTTTGCCAGGATCAGATACGCTGTGACTTTCATCAAGTTATGAACACCAAACTGAGGACACCTGCCTTAACAATTATAATTTATGCCTACTCATTTTATACGTTTATGAAATTAGCTTTAAAATAAAATAAAAATTAGACGTATAATGAAAACCAAATCTTTATTAACTTCAAATTTCTCCTAACCAGCCTCTTAATTACATACAGCCACACACACACACACACACACTAGCCTAATGTCTAGATATTTTCACCAAAAT